TTGAGGTTCATTTGACTTTTAAAAATATAAATACTGAATATGAGGGGTATGCTGTCAAAAGGCCCAGGGGGCCACAACATAATTAAAACCAATCTTTTCATGGATAAGGAAGCCTTACAAGGTAACCAAGAGGGAAGAAATAAATTGGATGATAAATTGTTTCTAGGGTATTTTACAGCTGATTTAAGACACGGGTCAAAACCAACCTGTTAACATAAGAGATAGTAACAAAGCTAACACAAGAGGAAGTTTAAATTTTTGATGACTAGTCTTCATGTGCAAAGCACTGTGAGCCACTAACATATCATGCCATTGTACAATGAGTAAAATGAGGTAGAACCTCAGCATTCAAGAAGATGTCTGTGATAAAGTGTAAAACCCAGTGAAAGACATTGCAATAATGTTTTGTCCCATCATTATCCAGCACCACACAACTTAAGTTTGAAATGACAGCCGTAGGCAGGGAGTGCAGTTCCAAGTACTTTATTCAATTTCACAAAGTTGATGCCAGGATAGATCGCTTCCAGGAAAAGGTCAGGAACCTGAGAAAAGAAACACTGTTAAGTGCGGAATTCATTACACTGACATGCAAGAAAATTGATTTTTTTAAAAGACACTCCAGCTTGATGAAAGCAGTCAAGAAATCTTAGAAACAGGTAAAAACATACTCACAGAAAGCATATCCAAAGTCAAACATGGGCTTTGCGTTTGGTCATGCCAAAGCTTGGCTGCTCTGGCCTGGCCTGGAGATGAAGCTGAGGATGAGGCCTCGGCTTGCTCGGGTAGCTGGGCTGCTGGGGTTTTCCCAGGTAGCTTGGCTGCTGGGGCCTCAGTTGGGTCTTGCCCAGGTAGCTGGGCTGCTCAGGCTGGGATTGAGCAGGGAAGCTTGGCTGGGGCTGGCCCGAGTAGCTGGGCTGCTGGGGCCTCAGCTGGGGCTGGCCCGGGTAGCTGGGCCGCTGGGGCTGAGCAGGGTAGCTGGGCCGCTGGGGCCTCGGTTGGGGTTGAGCAGGGTAGCTGGGCTGGGGCTGGCCTGGGTAGCTGGGCTGGGGCTTGCCCGGGTAGCTGGGCTGGGGCTGGGGCCTGCCCGGGTAGCTGGGCTGCGGCTGGGGCCTCGGCTGGGGCTGGGGCTTGCCCGGGTAGCTGGGCTGCGGCTGGGGCCTCGGCTGGGGCTGGGGCTTGCCCGGGTAGCTGGGCTGCGGCTGGGGCCTCGGCTGGGGCTGGGGCTTGCCCGGGTAGCTGGGCTGCGGCTGGGGCCTCGGCTGGGGCTGGGGCTTGCCCGGGTAGCTGGGCTGCGGCTGGGGCCTCGGCTGGGGCTGGGGCTTGCCCGGGTAGCTGGGCTGCGGCTGGGGCCTCGGCTGGGGCTGGGGCTTGCCCGGGTAGCTGGGCTGCGGCTGGGGCCTCGGCTGGGGCTGGGGCTTGCCCGGGTAGCTGGGCTGCGGCTGGGGCCTCGGCTGGGGCTGGGGCTTGCCCGGGTAACTGGGCTGCTGGGTCCTCGGCTGGGGCTGGGGCTTGCCCGGGTAGCTGGGCTGCAGCTGGGGCCTCAGCTGTGGCTGGGGCTTGCCCGGATAGCTAGGTTTCTGCGGCCTGGTCTCAGATTGGTGATCTGAAGCCATCTCAATTCCATAACTTGAAGCGATACCCGAGTCAAATTGTTTTCCATTCTGTGAAGCAGCAACATCCCACATGCCAGCTTTGGTCTGGAGTACACCTTTTGCATAAAGATTAGACACACTTCCATCTGGACTGTATCCATCTACTTGCCTACCATAAGAACCACTATAACCTTTAGTACCAGCAGGCTTCAGGTTCTCAAATGAACCTCTGTCGGGATAACTGGGTCCAGAGCTACCTATAAAACCTCCAGACTGTGCAGGGCTCTCATATTTTGGAGAGGCTGAACCAGGTTTGTGGCTGCCTGAAAAGCCTTCAGCCTGATCAAAGTAAGGTTTAATGATACTGGACCCTCCACTTCTGTAGCTCAGTGCTAAAAAGAGAAAACATTTTAATGGTCAGTCAAGTGAAGAAGTTTCTACAGCTAGAACTGCAGTTTGTGTAGAATGAGCTCTTACCCTTTGCATGTGGCCCAAACGCCAATAGTGAGAGCAAGAACACCCTGGAAGATGGAGAGGATCATGATTGAACAAAAGAAACCCAAGCAATTAACAAAAGTGCCAAAAAACAAACAAATCACTTACTTAAAATACTTACCTCACACAAAATCCAGAGGCCATTTTCCAAACCTGAAGCCAAACAACATGCAAAACTTGTGCTGTTTGCAGGATGCCAAAAAACCCAGAAGCTTTAGTTTCAGCTTTGTAACTGTTGCAACCACAGCAGCCTTCTTTATATGTTGGTACCTGAGTCCACCAGTCACGTCTCACGCTGATTAAATAATTGGAATCAGGTTTGAAGCATCAGTAGAGACCTCTCTGACAACCTGGGCAGGTGTTTGCACTTAAGCTAAATGGCTACATTTCATTTAAGTACCACTCAGTAGTAACTGGACTAATCACAACAATGTAATGGATGCGTAAAACCAGATGGAGGCAGTAATGCAACATAATAGATGCCAACTGCCATAAAACCCAAACAGAAGGAAGAAGAAGAACCTGTCAGTTTGTAGGCCTGTTTCAAGGGTTGCTTCACCCACATTACGAAGAACTGACAGTCCTACTGTTCTCTAGCCATGTGGAGAGTTTTGGTGTTATCTTTTGAGGTCTGAGATTTCTGCTGCTACCCACATATAACAGAGGTTACATTTGATTTTGTCTGTGGCACACAATAAATTAACAATTAGTTCTAAAACAAATGCTAGCATATTAAAAGGCAACATCTCTGACTGGATAAATTGGGGGATAAGTTGCGGGACTTGAGTCACATGACTTTACTCAAGTCAGACTTAAATCACAGGACTTGAGACTTGCTTGATTAACACTGATAAAACTTTGACCTGGTTTTCATAATTTGAGAGCTGACTTAGACTTCACTCAAAAGACAAGAATATTTGCATCTTTATGCCTCTGTGCCGGCGGCAGCCAAAGCTGGTGGCATATTGTTTTCAGGTTGTCCGTCCATCTCGTTATCATGGACACGATATCTCAGAAACGTCTTGACAGAACTTCCTTAAATTTGGCACAAACATTCACTAGTAAGACATTTAGTTGTAAAAATATTCATCAAGACTCAAGTACAAACTGATTAGACTGTGTCGGCTGAAGATCAGTTCAAAGTTCAAAGGTCAAGGACAAAGTGACCTCACAAAACATGGTTTTGGTCTTGTGAATACATTATTTCAATAATGCCATAAAGGAACATTTTCAAATTTGGCACAAAAGTCCACTTGGACTCAAGGATGGACTAATAAGATTTAGGGGGTCAAAGGTCAAAGGTGTGTTGACCTCACAAAACAGTTTTAACATGTGTTGAGGGCTAGGGTCTTAGAAAATGAAAAATCATCCATTAAACACATGACAGAAACTACTGAATCTTAGCCATTAATTTATATTTTTTAAAAAAGGAATGTTACGCTGCACAAATACAACAACAATGGCAGCCCATTTCAGTATTAACTAATTCAAACTAATCTACCATAAAACTCAACTGAAGAAATTTGGTGTGGGGTGAGCAAGTGTTTTACAAGCTGCATGTCTTTTGGTTCATTTTTGTTAAAATTCAAGCAGATCTTTACCGTCTTTCACAGCTTCTTACTGACCTAGTGTCATATTCTAATAAGCTGCTATTTGCAAGACGTCTAGGCTCCTTTTCAAATTAAAACCCTTAGACCTGGCCATGTTGATACTTAACTCCACCACCTCAGCCTTATATGTGCAGTGTCTTAAGGCCTCAAATCTAAAGACAAAGTATCCTCACTGACAAGCAGCTGCTTGCTGAACTGCAAGCAGCCTTCAGCTATGAATTTCAGCCCATGTTAGAGATTCACCATCTTGACTCTTGATGAACATCCTCTGCAATTTTCCTGAGCATGACCCCACATACCACAAATGCCATCTCTCCAGTTGGTTTTAGTCCCCATTCATGCAGCCTAGAAAGCATGAAACTGCAGTCACTGGAGATGTATACAGGTGCATCTCAATAAATTAGAATATGATTGAAAAGTTAATTTATTTCAGTAATTCAATTCAAAAAGTGAAACTCATATTATATAGATTCATGACACACAGAGTGAAAAATTTCAAGCCTTTATTTCTTTTAATTTCGATGATTATGGCTTACAGCTAATGAAAACCGAAAATTCAGTATCTCAGAAAATTAGAATATTACATAAGACCAATAAAAAAATGGATATCTAATACAGAAATGTTGGCCTAATGAAAAGTCTGTTCATGTATATGCAATCAATACTTGGTCGGGGCTCCTTTTGCATGAATTACTGCATCAGTGCGGCGTGGCATGGAGGCGATCAGGCTGTGGCACTGCTGAGGTGTTATGGAAGCCCAGGCTTCTTTGATAGCGGCCTTCAGCTTGTCTGCATTGTTGGGTCTGGTGTCTCTCATCTTCCTCTTGACAATACCCCATAGATTCACTATGGGGTTCAGGTCAGGCGAGTTTGCTGGCCAATCAAGCACAGTGATACCATGGTCATTAAACCAGGTATTGGTACTTTTGGCAGTGTGGGCAGGTGCCAAGTCCTGCTGGAAAATGAAATCAGCATCTCCATAAAGCTTGTCAGCAACAAGGAAACATGAAGTGCTCTAAAAATTTCCTGGTAGACGGCTGCGCTGATTTTGGACTTGATAAAACACAGTGGACAAACACCAGCAGATGACATGGCTCCCCAAATCATCACTGACTGTGGAAACTTCACACTGGACTTCAAGCAACTTGGATTCTATGCCTCTCCATTCTTCCTCCAGACCCTGGGACCTTGATTTCCAAATTAAATGCAAAATTTACCTTCATCTGAAAAGAGGACTTTGGACCACTGAGCAATAGTCCAGTCCTTTTTCTCCTTAGCCCAGGTAAGACGCTTCTGACGTTGTCTCTGGTTCAGGAGTGGCTTGACACGAGGAATGCGACAGTTGTAGCCCATGTCCTGGATACGTCTGTGCGTGGTGGCTCTTGATGCACTGACTCCAGCCTCAGCCCACTCCATGTGAATCTCCCCCAAATTCTTGAATGGCCTTTGCTTCACAATCCTTTCAAGGCTGCGGTTATCCCCGTTACTTGTGCGCCTTTTTCTACCACTTCTTCCTTCCACTCAACTTTCTATGAATATGCGTGGATACAGCACTCTGAACAGCCAGCTTCTTTAGCAGTGACCTTTTGTGGCTTACCCTCCTTGTGGAGGGTGTCAATGACTGTCTCCTGGACAACTGCCTAGTCAGCAGTCTTCTCCATGATTGTGTAGCCTACTGAACCAGACAGACCATTTAAAGGCTCAGGAAACCTTTGCAGGTGTTGAGTTAATTAGCTGATTAGATTGACATCGTAAGTCTACACTATTGAACTTTCACGATATTCTAATTTTCTGAGATACTGAATTTTTGGTTCTCATTAGCTGTAAGCCATAATCAAATTAAAAAAACACTTGAAATATTTCACTCTAATGAATCTAGAGTAGATACAAGTCTCACTTTTTGAATTAACTTTTCCATGATATTCTAATTTGAGATGCACCTGTACATACACATGCCACCTTTGTTACAAAAGAACCAACTTAAGGTTGCATTACAAACTAAAGGTCACAGATGGCTCAAATTTGGAATCCTTCATATTTCCAGTGTCAGACCAATTGTGTGTTGTCTAATGAACAATGGGAGACAAAATGTCAAACAGGACATGTTAAGTGCAGAAGAATCCCAGTTTAAGTTTGATGACTAGTCTTCATGCGCAAAGCACAGCCACTAACATGTCATAATGCCAAGGTACAAAGAATAAAATGAGGTAGAACCTCAGCATTCAAGAAGATGTCTGTGATAAAGTGTAAAGCCCATTCAAAGACATTGCAATAATGTTTTGTCCCATCATTATCCAGCACCACTCAACATACACTGAACTTAGTTTGAAATGACAGCCGTAGGCAGGGAGTGCAGTTCCAAGTACTTTATTCAATTTCACAAAGTTGATAACAGGATAGATAGCTTCCAGGAAGAGGTCAGGAACCTGAGAAAAGAAACACTGTTAAGTGTGGAATTCATTACACTGACATGCAAGAAAATTGATTTTAAAGAAGAGAAACTTTTGCAAAGATGCTCTTCCAGCTTGATGAAAGCAGTCAAGAAATCTTAGAAACAGGTAAAAACATACTTACAGAAAGCATATCCAAAGTCAAACATGGGAGTGATGAAGACACCAGGACCAGGGGTTTTAAATATAGCCCCAATACCTCAGAGAGCCGTAAGATCTTGGCTGAATTTCAGAGTTGGTGGACTTCTCTATCGAGTCAAAAGCATCACCGTCCTGGGAAGAATGAGAGTCCCACATTCCAGCTTTGCGTTGGATCATGCCAAAGCTTGGCCGCTCTGGCCTGGCCTGGAGATGAAGCTGAGGATGAGGCCTTGACTTGCCCAGGTAGCTGGGCTGCTGGGGCTGGCCCGGGTAGCTGGGCTGCTGGGGCTTCAGCTGAGGCTGGCCCGGGTAGCTGGGCTGCTGGGGCCTCGGTTGGGGCTGGGGCTTGCCAGGGTAGCTGGGCCGCTGGGGCCTCGGCTGGGGCTGGGGCTTGCCCGGGTAGCTGGGCTGCTGGGGCCTCGGTTGGGGCTGGGGCGGGGCAGGGTAGCTGGGCTGCTGGGGCCTCGGTTGGGGCTGGGGCTTGCCAGGGTAGCTGGGCCGCTGGGGCCTCGGCTGGGGCTGGGGCTTGCCCGGGTAGCTGGGCCGCTGGGGCCGCGGTTGGGGTTGGGGCTGAGCAGGGTAGCTGGGCCGCTGGGGCCTTGGCTGGGGCTGCTGGGGCTGCTGGGGCCGCTGGGGCCTCGGCTGGGGCTGGGGCTTGCCCGGGTAGCTGGGCTGCTGGGGCCTCGGCTGAGCAGGGTAACTGGGCTGCTGGGGCCTTGGTTGGGGTTGGGGCTGAGCAGGGTAGCTGGGCTGCTGGGGCCTCAGTTGGGGTTGAGCAGGGTAGCTGGGCTGCTGGGGCCTCGGCTGGGGCTGCTGGGGCTTGCCCGGGTAGCTGGGCTGCTGGGGCTGAGCAGGGTAGTTGGGGTTCTGCGGGCTGGTCTCAGATTGGTGAGGGCTTGCCCGGGTAGCTGGGCTGCTGGGGCCTCGGCTGGGGCTGCTGGGGCTTGCCCGGGTAGCTGGGCTGCTGGGGCTGAGCAGGGTAGTTGGGTTTCTGCGGGCTGGTCTCAGATTGGTGACCTGAAGCCATCTCCATCCCATAACTTGTAGCGATACCTGACTCAAATCTGTTTCCATTCTGTGGAGAAGCAACATCCCACATGCCAGCTTTGGTCTGGAGTACACCTTTTGCATTAAGTTGTGTTTTGAGATGTGGCTGCTGTGGGTTATCTCTGGGTTTTGAACTCCTGTAACCAGACACACTTCCATCTGGACTGTATCCATCTACTTGCCTACCATAAGAACCACCATAACCTCCAGCACCAGCAGGCTTCAGGTTCTCAAATGAACCTCTGTCAGGATAACTGGGTCCAGAGCTACCTATAAACCCTCCAGGCTGTGCAGGGCTCTCATATTTTGGAGAGGCTGAACCAGGTTTGTGGCTGCCTGAAAAGCCTTCAGCCTGATCAAAGTAAGGTTTAATGATACTGGACCCTCCACTTCTGTAGCTCAGTGCTAAAAAGAGAAAACATTTTAATGGTCAGTCAAGTGAAGAAGTTTCTACAGCTGGAACTGCAGTTTGTGTAGAATGAACTCTTACCCTTTGCATGTGGCCCAAACGCCAATAGTGAGAGCAAGAACACCCTGGAAGATGGAGAGGATCATGACTGAACAAAATAAACCCAGGTGATTAACAAAAGTGCCAAAAAACAAACAAAACACTTAAAATATTTACCTCACACAAAATCCAGAGGCCATTTTCCAAACCTGAAGCCAAACAACATGCAACACTTGTGCTGCTTGCAGGATGCCAAAAAACACAGATGCTTTCGTTTCAGCTTTGTAACTGCTGCAACCACAGCAGCCTTCTTTATATGTTGGTACCTGAGTCCACCAGTCACGTCTCACACTGATTAAATAATTGGAATCAGGTTTGAAGCATCAGTAGAGACCTCTCTGACAACCTGGGCAGGTGTTTGCACTTAAGCTTATTGGCGTCATTTCATTTAAGTACCACTCAGAAGTAATTGGACCAATCACAACGATGTAATGGATGCGTAAAACCAGAAGGAGGCAGTAATGCAACATAATGGATGCCAACTGCCGTAAAAACCCAAACAGAAGGAAGAAGAAGAAGAACCTTTCAGTTTGTAGGCCTGTTTCAAGGGTTGCTTCACCCACATTACGAAGAACTGAATGTCCCACTGTTCTCTAGCCATGTGAAGAGTTTTGGTGTTATCTTTTGAGGTCTGAGATATCCACCTCTCAGATTTCTGCTGCCAACCACATATAGCAGAGGTTACATTTGATTTTGTCTGTGGCACACAATAAATTAACAATTAGTTCTAAAACAAATGCTAGCATATTAAAAGGCAACATCTCTGACTCGATAAATCACAGAACTTCCTGTCCTACAGTAAATGGAACATTTTTTCCAGAGTTGGGGGCCTTGAGTCACATGACTTTACTCAAGTCAGACTTAAATCACAGGACTTGAGACTTGCTTGACTAACACTGATAAAAGACTTGGTATTCATAATTTGAGAGTTGACTTAGACTTCACTCAGAAGACTAGGATATTTCAATTCTTACGCCTCTGCTCCAGCAGCAGCCAAAGCTGATGGCGTATTGTTTTCAGGTTTTCCGTCCATCTCGTTATTGTGGACATGATACCGCAAAACGCCTTGATGGAACTTCCTCAAATTTAGAACAATTAAGCACTATGCTCGTAGAACATTAAAAATTTGGTGTGGGATGAGCGAGTGTTTTACAAGCTGCATGTCTTCTGGTTCATTTTTGTAAAAATTCAAGCAGATCTTGACCCTCTTTCGCAGCTTCTTACTGATCTAGTGTTATATTCTAATAAGCTGCTGTTTGCAAGACGTCTAGGCTCGCTGAACTGCAAGCAGCCTTCAGCTGTGAATTTCAGCCCATGTTAAGAGATTCCTCATCTTGACTCTTGATGCACATCCTCTACAATTTTCCTGAGCATGACCCCACACACCACAAATGCCATCTCTCCAGGTGGTTTTAGTCCCTATTTATGCAGCCTAGAAAGCATGAAACATGAACAAACCTAAGGTTGTGTTGTATTGAAGTGAGCCAAGTCGAAGTACTTATGTCTCTACAGTCTCATAAATGAATGTAAATACAAAAATAACATTTAAGGTGGTCTGCTTGTACTATCAACTGACTCCTATGATTTATCTGTTAATCTCTGGATGGCAAGTCCAAATAAAGATATTAAATTCACTCTTTGAATTGTGTCAGAGAAGAAAGACAGAGCTGACGAATATTCAACACATTTTACTAACCATCATTCATTTCACTTATTTTACATTAATGTCAAGCAAATAGTTTCACCACATTACAAAGAAGGAGCATACCATGCAGTCATGAAAAAGACCATCATCATAAGACACCAGCTAGATATCATTTTATAGCTTAAGTCTTTGTTTAAACCATGGTGGCATGGATGCTATTTTAATACATTTCATATTCACTTCTGCTGGAATTTTAATACAGAAAAATATAGAAAACTGTGGGAATGTACTGTGCTCATGGTAACATCAAACTTAGAGGGAAGAGAAGTCACATGGGAAGAAAGAGAAAAAAGGAGGGAGTAAAAGGTAAGGAAGTAAAGAAGGAGGGAAGAGAGGAAGTAACAGCGAATAGAGATGAAGGAAAAAAAAACTGGAGGAGGAAGGAGGCATGTGTAGATGTTGTGAAGGTCTGTTAGCTGAGTTTGAGGCCAAGGCAGAGAGCCAGCTCGTTCTTTTGGATCTTTCCATCTCCGTTGATGTCGCAGTGACCCATTAGGGCTTTCCTGAACTTGTCCAGGTCTGTCCCACTGATGCTGGGCTGGAGGAGAGGGTTAGGAGGGTTTAAAGGTAGGAGGTCAATGCCTAAATTACTCTTGTTGGGTAAATATTTTTCACGGTGAAAGGAAAGATAGTTTTTTAGTGTTAGAAAGTTATTTTGAAAAGCTACAGAAAGTTAGCATGTTACCATAACGTCTCAAATGTAAGTCACATGTGTGGTTTTATTCGCTGATAAGATATATGCTGTTCCTAAATAAAAGTCAGTTTCAAATAGGCTTGGGCAGATATTGAATAATATCAAATATTGCGATGTTTCCTGCCAAATGCGATATTTACATTGATTTACATCACAAGTCACAGTTTTTCATCAAAACTTTGAACTGCAGTTTAGTGGCAGCATCACTTATACCTCAAGCAAGAAATACAAACCCCTGGTTTCGCAATAATGCGATATTTGACCTGGAGTGTATCCAGTTATCAAATTTCAGAACACCAGTGCTTGTACTACAAGGGTGTCTGTTAATGTGATGCATGAAGGCTTTTAATGTGAGAATTGATAAAGGAAGTGTTGAGATTGCACCAGTAACAGTAAATGGCATCAAAACTTTAGGATTTAGGATTTTTCATTTATTGTAGAGATATACAGTATGACGCTACTCTATATATTTTTTTTCTTCAAACATCTTTCAAAACATTCTTCAAAAAAGTTTTACCTTCACCAGCTCCATCATATCCTTGACAAATCCATCCACCTCCGGACCCTCCAACGCACCTGTCTGACTCTATATACACACACACACATACACACACACACATATAGACAAAGGGCACATGATACACATGGAAACATGACATAAGGATCAGAAAAACACATTGTTACCTTGTAAAACACAGATAAATGTGATGAAAAGTTATACTAAATACTAAAACGTATCCATAAATCAAATATTCAAGCACCGGGTAAAAAACTCTCTCTGGTCAGACAGAAAACAAGAACAAAAAGTCTTTAATCCAATAAATTCTTTCTGGGAAAAGACACAACAGAGATTAAAACAGATAAATTCACACTTACGACATCATAGTGAGCAAATATCTTCTCAAAGTCTCTCTTCCTGTCCTCCTGACTGCAGGCCTGACACCAAACATCAAATAATGAAAACACAACACATTCACTGAGAGCACGAAATATTAATATTTAAGTGAGAACATGAATCCATTTAAAGGAAAAAAAACATTTTAAGCTTAAATCCCCAAACTTACGTCCATCTTAAACTTCAGTAAGAAGTTTTCCTTCAGGGCCAAAATTCTGTTGACGACAAAAAAACTAATGGAGAATTGAACTCATTTAAAAAGTAGACAATTTTATTTTGTAATATTGTAGAAATTAATTTTTGTTCTTGGAAACAGGAAAATGAATGGATAAAGCTGAAATAGCTTTTTCCACAGCATTCAACCACAGTGAATGGCCTCAAGTTACCAGTGAGGTGATGTATTTGGTCTTGTGATGAAAACTGGGAAAAAGCTCATGAATTAGCCTGAGTTTATAATATTTTCTTGCAGTAATTTCAAGTGTTTAGAGACAGGATTATAATAATTAGCACATTATCTTGTTTTAATGACTTCTAGTAGATCAGGTGTGATTCAGTACCTGGCCAGGTCATTTAAATCCAGTCTGCCATCTTTGTTTTTGTCAAACATCTTCATCTACAGGGAGGGAAAAAAAATCAGAATTAATTTCTTATTATTCAGTGACAGACAGATATCTGAACTCTGCCTGTTACCATGGTGTCAGTGTACTCCTCCAGCTTTTCAGGAGTGACGGACCTCCTGTGTTGGAGGAACAGGTCCTGAAGGAAGCCCTGAAGGACCAAAAAAGACACAGGAATAAGAACATTTACCACAAATTAACCCAAGACTGCTGAAGGAATCTCTCCTGGGACTGACAGCACAGAGGAAGAGGAAGCCCAACATCCTGACCTGAGAGCACTCAGTGAGGGATGAGTCACATTTGATCCAGTACTTGAGTGTGGAGACACAACCGCCAGTTATTTTCACCATTTTATATCCATACAATATCAAAAATAATGTCAAATACCATCAAAAGTTTATTGATTACCTTATAGATTTCATTTATGAGGATCTGAAACTGAAATATGAAGTAAATGATGATGATCTTATGAAGCTATAAACATCAATATTTTGTATTTTTACTTCATGAATATAAAAATATCAAAGATAGGAGAAGAAACCCTTTAACTTAAAGAGTAAGATGCAAAGCATCACTGTGAAGCCCGGGAGAAGGATTATTGTTTATATTGAAAACAACAAAAGGAAATAAAGAGTGTGGAAACCGCAGATCCAGATCACCACCACGATGCGGTCTATCGCTCTCTAGTCTAATGACTGCTGTGTGTGTTCACAGGTGTCAGAAACAGACCCTTGATAAGAACTGATGTGGTTTGATGTGAGCTTCTCCCTCTGTTACCTTGAGCTCGACGGCTGAGATGTAGCCGCTGCTGTCTGTGTCGTAGTTCCTCCAGATCTGCACACAACACAGAAAAGTCATTGAGAAATACAATAAACATCCCAAAACTAAAGACTGAGTCGACCTGTCCATTACACCCTTCATTATTTAAATTTTGAAAATTTCTACTTTTCTCTTAAAGGAGTAATGTTTGTCCTGAAGGAGGTGCTAAAAGAAAACTCATGCAGTGTTTTCTTTTGCAATGTTGGACGCATCCACCAGACACTCACTGGATGTCCACTGTCCTCTACTCAGCCTCTTGCCCTCACCCTCATGAACTCCACGCTGTTGTCCAGCGGCGTCTCCCTGCGAAACAGAAGCAGGAAGTTTTCTTCCTCTGGCAGCATCATGGTGGCCAGCTGGAGAGAGAGGATTTACATGTGTTGTAACTGAGGATGCTGTCGCCATTTTTTTAATCTTTTTTTTTTTTTTTACATGACACATCAGTTTTAAATAACATCTGATTCCTCATCTCCTATGTAAAGTTTGTTTCTGAAAGGACAAACCTATGAATGTCAAATTTAGTGTTAAATGCAAAATAACTCAGTAGATCAAAATCTACAGGAGTGAATATGATTATAGATCTACACCAACAAATGAGCCAACCCCTGATTTCAACACTCACTGCCTGTTCGGGACCAGAATCAAAACCTGCAGAGGTCAGAACTTTATGCTGACTTCATTGTATTTTGTGCTGTGTCTTAATCCTGCGGACGGCTGAGCTGACATGACCCAACATTTCCGAGGATTGTATGCTGAAAACGTGTTGATGTGTCATCTCCTGTAAAAACAGGAGGTGATCGTACCTCTTGGATCTGCAGACGTCCGTCAGCTGCGGCGTCACGAGCAGGTACGAATCTGGCTCCGAGCCGTCGGATTCTGTCCTCAGTTATCTCCTCTCTCTGACAACAACATGGACATAATGTACTGTATTTTACTGCACTTTAAAACCGGCTGCTGCAGTTGTACATGATGAATTAGTTTCATATATAAAAGGAATTATGAAAAATATAACGCAAACACATACATTGAAAAACAGGAAATGACTGATGTGTGTAAGCTCAGGTCTTCATCAGTGCTTTGGTGGGAAATGAAACTGGTGGTGAACAGCGGTTTTAGCTGAAGTGTTGACCACAAGCTTAAACGCACAATAGTAATTTTCTGCTACTAGGGGTCTCTTAGTCTAAAAAAAATAACAAATTATAGAGCTTGGTGTATGGAGTGTGGGATCATGGGAGTTGTTGTCTTCATCACCACTGCTGTAAGTTTCTCCTGGTTTGGATTCCTTCAGTGTCAGTGGTTCATGAAGTTTTTCTCTGGAGCTGAATTATCCACAGAGGTCTCCTCCTCTCCGCAACAAACAGACTAGGTGATTAAAACCAGTAAAAACACTGAATAAAGCAGTTTCACGTTAAAAATCTGTGTTTTTCCATCACTATTCAGCGGGACACAGGACGTCTTGGAGGGGCTGTGAGCCGAGCTACCTAATGTTTGCTCAGCTTGTTTCTCTGATAAATTGAGATCCAGATGTCTGATGACAAAAATCCGTCATCTGGTTAAAATATATAGTTAAAAAATGACCAAGAACCGAAAGTGAATCTTAAATATGTGACTTAAAAATGGATTAAAAAAAATCAATTTTGAGCTTCTGGCAGGCAACCACAACACTGATGCATGCACATGGAGGATATGAAGTCATTGACAGGTGGCCAAATGAAACTGTTACCACTGATTTCTCTGGTTTGAGAATCGATAGAAACATTTGTGATCATAAAAGCTCAACAACGTATATAACAGAGGTGTAGTTGTTTTTAGACATTTAATGCGAAAAAAATGACATATTGTACCTTTAAGAAAACAAGTATCAATAAACTCTGAAGAGCACAATTTAAAAAACCTGCAACATCAATCATTATTTATATTTATATCATATTTCTCTCATGTCTGAATTTTCTGTGTAGCAGTTGAACATTTCTGGCACCAGCGCCCCCCTGTGGCTCTATCAAAAACATCCGTCTGTCTGATGACACAGGTCGAGATGCTGCTGATTTCCATCAGGTGGAAAGGGACCAAACTCAACATGCAGCCTCATATTTTCTCTCTGTACCTTCATCCCCTGTTTTTCCAGCATGTGTTGAAAGAAGGCGTCCAGCTGCTTTCCTTCGATGTAACCATCGTCTAAACAAGACACACAAGCAGGCGTTTAGAATATAAAACTCAACAGTTCATGTGTGGATTCACATACAACCTTTAGCCTCATGAAACAAGAGTGTGAAATAAAACAAATAAAATGAAATAAACTACAATGTAAAAATCTCAACAGTATCAACACAGTGCAGCTGGATGAGCCAGTATAAATATTATAGCATTTATCATTAATGCATTCATTGTTGTGGCCTATTTTACACTTGATCATGTTTACGATGAGCAGCTTATTCTGGAGAGAAACACATTGTTGTTTGGTTCCAAAAAACACAATAACACATTTTACCAATTTCTATAAAAATGACTGATGCAAAATAACATTATTATCTCATATCATGTCAGGGTCTCATGGATCACATTATGTCACTGAGACTTAAAGTGGAACTATAACTTCAGAGGAAGATCATGCGATATGATCGAAAGCTCCAGAGCAGCCACTATCTGACCTTGTGGTGAGATTTCTTTGTCGGCTACTTTATTCAAATCATATGAATAAACTGAGGGGATTATGTGTGATGTTCAGGACATTAGTTTGGCAAACAGATTAAATACATTTAACGTTATTTCTGCTACGGTCTCCTTAGATTAAATATTAATTTCCGGGGGTGGGGTGGTGTATGAAGCAGCTTCCATCCCACCCCAATGTTGGGGTGCTGTGTTTTGCTGGAGGTCTGGAGGAGGTGGTGCTACGGCTTTTCATGCACTTCACATTATATTCACAGCTTTTTATTTACAGCGATGAACCTTGGGTTGCACATGACCTCATGAGTTTTCTCCTAAAGTCTTATATTGTTGTATTTGTCAGAAAACTGACACAGATAATATATGATTTCTGAAACTAAAAACCAATTTAAGTTGGGCTGTGCTTTTTGCTTCGTCCTGTTCACTGTTAACTGTAAGATACTACGTTATGAAAATGAATTGAAGTCTGTGCAACAGGGGTTTAAAAATATGAAGAAATGCTTTCAATGCTTTTAACTGCCACATATTAACATTAATGGGCTGAACCTGCATTTAACTGGTTTAACATACATTTTAATTCTCTCCTACTATTATTAATGCAGTTTGTCACATTATCAATTAAATGTAAACACACTGAGTCGAGCTCCTAGAGTCACTGAATGATGTTACAGTCACATGGACTTTAGAGAATGAACCACTCTCACCATCCACGTCGAAGTGTTGCCAGATCTGTAAAAATCCTGCAGCGTCCAGTCCGTCCACAGCGCGGTCCATGGTGCCGGAGACCAGTACAGAGGTCGAGCTGCTGACAATAAGACAAGAACGGGAAAAACAAGGAGACGTAGAGCAGAGTCACAGAGAGAGAGAGGAGAGAAAGTTTATTCTGATTTCATCTTCAGGGGCCAGAGAAATGAGAGAATACAATTTCAACAGCTTGTTTATGAAGGGAGGGGGGAGAGAGGGAGGGAGAGAGATAGAGAGCGGGGGAGGGAGAGAGAGAGGGGAAAGGGGGGTGAGGGGGAGAGAGAAGAGGAAGGGTAAGAGAGAGAATGAGGGGGAGGGAGAGAGAGGAAGAGGGTGCAGAGAAGAGGGGAGAGAGAGAGAGTGTGAGAGAGGGTGAAGAGGGGGGCCACTGAGGAGTAGAGAGAGAAAGAGTGAGGGGGGGCAGAGAGGGGGGGGGGCAAGAGAGGGAGAGATTGAGAGAGAGGGGGGGTGAGAGAGGGAGAGAGTGAGAGAGAGGGGCGGTAGAGTGATGGAGAGAGGGAGAGAGAGTGGGTGAGCAGTGAACCAGTATTTATTGGCGTACACAAACAGATACAGAAACATGTGACAGCTGACGTCACATTTCAGACTCGTAGCTTCACAAACATATAAACAATAAAACACAGCGTTTCACTGAATCTTTAAAAATAACAACAATATTTTCCCAGTAAGATAAAAGCCATCACCACGAATCTTAAATGAAACTCCATGCAGAGTCAACAGCATGTTTCATCCATAATAAATCATCATACAATATAAACCCCAGTGTCTGTGTTTTACTCTGATTAAACCCATTTATTCTATAAACACAACCTTTAACAAGTGTTAGTACATATTTACACTGATACATAAAACATCTGTAAGTGCAGCAGTACATGATTAACAGAGATCAGTATTCGATAAGGCAAGATGTGAGGATACAGCAGCGGTGTTGATAGCAGAGTAACATGTTAAACCAATGAACATTTTATGTTTTATACACATACATTAAACAGAAAAAGCAAGTAAAATATTTTTTTTGTTGTTGAAAGAATACGTTTATTTCCATCTGTATAAACACCCCCCGAGAGGCAATTTTTTTTTTTTTTTCTGGAAAAAACAAAACTTAGAAAAACGATCATCCCAAAATATTTTTCACTTGCCCTCAGGGGTTGTTCTCACAGACAAAAAAAACTTTTTTTTTGTCAGTTTAGACTGTGGTAGTGGCACACCTCACCCTCTTGTGGCCAGAAGCCGTATTACAAAAGCAAATCTTCACAAAGCAATCCTCACTAAAAAAAAAAATAAAAAAAAAAAAAATGATATTTTTTTTGTCTGTGAAAACGACCCCAGAGAGACAAGTAAAAAAAAATATTTTGGGGGCCAATCATTTTTCTATGCCCCCCCCCCCAGAAAAAAATAATCACTTGCTCTTGAAGGTGTTTATACAGATGAAAAGGAGAAAAAAATGATCCTGGTAAAAAACAAAAAAAAATTCACTTGCCTTTTAGGGCTAAAGGACATTTGACTTGTTCTAATTTTTGGTTCAGCGAACCCTCAGAGGGTAAACTATCAGTTGCTCTTCGTCTCCACCCACTGAGGATTCTGCCATGTTCACATCATGGAGGAGGAACAGCAACAACGTATGTTCATGACTTACAGGCTTTCAAGTGAACTGAAGACAGGTGAGTGACGGCTGAGTTTGACTTTTTAAAAACAGTTAGATAGTTTAGTGCGTATACTTTAAAAATAAATGGCGTTAGGTGCCTTTCAAAATAATGTAAGGCATTAATTTTCATTAATTGGACCTTTCAGAAGTCATAACTAGAGTTAGATGCTGATGTGAACAATTTTTCAAGTCATGACACGAATGCAGCATTTACTCAAATCTCCCCCTTACAGAGCCATATTTATATCACTGTGTTCTTACTCCTCTGTGCTGATGGGAGTCAGATTATTTAACTGGGATTTTTCTTGACTCTACTTAAACAATCTGAATCTGATTCTGTCTCATTTCAAGATACAGACCCTTAAGGTTAAATTAAATGGGAACAAGAGGAATAATCTCGACTCACAGGCAGAATATTTTCAGATTTTTTTTTTTTGTCAGTCAGATAATTATGCGATCCACAGTAACTCAGGTGACCTGACATATTTTCTAGTCAAGAGCAGTCATTATATTTTATAACATTAAAATGAAAACTTATTTACAACTCCAATGAAAGCTCAAGGACACATCACACAAAAATAAAGATTTGAAGAGCTTGAACTTGCTTTGGTTTTTTGTTGTTGTTCCTCTTCTAAAGTGCTGCAGGATGTTTCTGCTGCCCCTGATTTCTAATCTGTGAAGAGCCTGTTCCTGGATGAGGAGTGAATGTTTGCAGGATAAAAAAAGTTTCTATATTAAGTCATTACCTCCAGACAAGCTGACGGTAGAGCTCACTGAGTTACAGTTTACCTGCTGCATGTAAACACCGTGGACAGCCAGACTCATTCTCAGTGTTTTGGACTAACTGAGCTTATTCTAGCTGGACCCGGTTGTGTAAGTAACCACAGATTGTCTCTGCACCAGATAAAACCCATCTGGTCAGCTCTTTATGGTCCTATTAGAGCTGTTGACAGAGACGGTAGTGGGACTGTTCTGGTGTCCATTCGGCCGAACAGTTCGACTGATCCAAGGTCAGGAAACTCGTCTGATAACATGTGCAAAAAGTTTTACAGCATCCCCCCTGTTTACATGTGCCTTATCAAAAAAAACAAAACAAAAAAACAAAAACAATTTACTCTCCACTGCCTGTGCCTTTTACTGTCTGTATGTGATTGTTCCCCTGGTGGAGTAAGGACTCTTGAGTGAGATTTAAACGACCATCAGACTGAAGGAGTGTCTTCGCTGGACTCCTCCTCTGATTTGTTGTCAGTTGGAGATTGAACCTCCTCCTCAGCTGGACTGAGATCTGTGTCCGCCAGAGATGGAGGCGTCACTGAAGGGACAGAGAGAGGGAGAATACACATGTGAGACAGAGAACGAGGGAAACAGCTGGACTGAAACAGTGACAGACGTGTTCTTATTTGATTAAGAAATTAAAGTGAGATCATCAACTGAAAAGTAAAGAAAACAATAAATTCAGGTCCAGAAACCACAAAAACCTAAAAATGAATACAATAAATTTGGATCAAATAACATTGGACAAATAAACTATGAACCGAGTTCAAATTATGAGGCAAAGTCCTTTAACCACTTTAATATCATGAATCTCAGACGCCTCAATAAATGACTGAAGTGTAACTACTGCTACATTTTGACAACCATGCAGAGACTAGTTTTAGAGATCAGTCGAACCGTAAGTGGGGAGCGACTTGGTGCGCTCCCGGTCTTGCTCCCCGGCAGGAGGAGGACTCGCTGAGCTCTTCAGAGACGACCACTGTCTACCACCGCCGGCTCCAGGCTCGCTTCCTGCACCGGGCGGGTCAAACGCATCGCCGCCGTCTCCAGAAAAATCAACTGCAGGAAAGAGAGACACAAGGAAACTGATGCGTCTCTGTCCTTCAGCAATATTTCACCGCACACATTTCAAAATGACAACCATCAACAGTTTGTCTTTTCTGTGGCCCTGGAAACATCTGAGACTGAGAGAGCCAATGAGAAGAGAGGAGGGCATGGCTTAGGGTGGTGACTGTTTTGTTAATACTTTCACAGTATTAATATACAACCTTTACCTGCTTTATAATCAAAAGAGGACATGGACATCTACCTTTATACAATACAGGACTTTTAATTTTAAAAATTTACATAATAAAAGAAAGATTCCTCCTCTTCCAGACTGATGGACAGCAGAAAATAAAATTAAATCCTGTTTCCTGTTTTTTTTTTAAAGAATTGTGTAGGTGGTTTATGTCTTACGTCCAAAACAGTGAGAGGTGTGTGATGACGCCTGCTGAGACGTGTAAATGACCCTTCTGTCTCTTTGATTTTAAAAACACGTATTCTTGCACAATCACAACAGACGACTTTTTGATTACACAGAAGCCTTTTTTAAAGAAAAACACTGAGTTCCTGTGAGTGTTAATTACACAAGTCGCGTGTTAAACCACAAAATCCCCCACACACACTCTGACACTTGGACATGTCAAGTACAGGCTGGAACTGGATGCATGTGCTTTGCTTCAGATGTCCTGTTTGTGGAGGCGTCACATATGGCCCTGAAAGTGTTCATTAAACAAGTTGTCACCTGTTATATTGTCAGCAATACTGCGGCTAACAGGCAGCGCTGACTCATGCAACCTTTATCATTAAGAAAAAACAGCCACTGCTGTCTGTCATCTTAGTCGTTTTCATTTTTCAGTGCCTTTAGATTCTCCAAGAAACATTTTCCTTTCTCTTCTCATTCTATAGTATTTACAGAACTGTCACATTCTTAATAAAATGCAGGAATGCTAAGCTAAATGTGGCCAATTTTTCCTTTTTGGATCAGAATCTCCTCAACAAAAAATGCCTGTTTAATATAGGAACATTGAAAGAAGAAATAATTAAAACAAATGTGGAGTATTTTGACATACATAGCCAGGACACGTATCAGTTATGTTGAATATGTTTATCACTGTGCTAGAGCCTAAATACACAGGATCAAATAAATATTTAATACATTTAATGTAAATTTAGCTGATTATTCATTGTAATTTGATTCCTTTCTATCATTTATTCGCATGCAATGTTTTTAACAAAGAAAAGTAAATATTTTTAATTATTTAAATTCTTTATATAAACTGACCTGAACACAACATTTGTGTGATTTGTGATGTGCATAAAAATTTTTTTTTTTTTTTTACTAATGCCACGTTTGTAAAGGTCAAACAGAGATACTAACCGTCCAGTGGAGACAGGGGTCCTGCAGGGTTGCTGCTGGTGCTCTCTCGCTCCTGCTCCGATGGCGCCCTCTTCAGGCGAGGAGCAGGAAGTGGTCCTTTAGCAGAGGAGCTGCCTACTGGAACCTCAGAGTCATCTGAGAACCAGATATCAATAAAACAACCAAACAATGAACAAACTGTCAGGACAAATCCACAGATGTGGGATTTAAACTACAATCCTACTTGTGGTAATAAAAATATTTAGAAACAATGGAAGCTTCTGGTGGCTGTAGGATGCCCCAAAGTTGACAAAAATCTGAGAGCAATCCCAATCCTTGCCTACCTTGAATGTAGGTGCTGTTTGCCCTGGGACTGGTTGGACTGGTGGGACTGGTTGGGCAAGAGGTGTGCGCCCCCTGTGGGAGTTTGGTGGCCTGGGATGGAGGCGGTTTGGGGGTGATGCTCGGTGGTTTGGACCTGGGAGCTGGCTCTGGTTTGGACTCATCAGCGTCTGCTGGGATAATGGGGTGGAGGTCTGACCACAAGTCTTATTCTACTATGGACTTAAAGAGTGTCATTACTGTGGGTTGTGAACTGTGAACTAGTTACTATGAAAATTCTACATACAACTCTTACACTAAGCAGTCAAGACACTGGTGCACCGGTAACATGATATTAAAGAAACTCACCTTTGTCCCCATCCACCTTCTCCAACAAGGTTGACGACTCAGACTGAAAACAGAGAGACAGAGAGGTAATGTCACTGAATGTACGACTTCATGTATTCTACATTACTAGTTATTTAAAACCCCAGCCTTCTAACTCTTTGTTTTCAAGTTCTTTTTAATATGTCGACTATTGAGGGAAGAGAAGGAATGTAACTGAGAAAGAGAGAGATGAGGAACGACAATATATGTACTGTATGTACCACAGATACACAAGCTTTGTTTTTACACCATCTTTAAAAGTGTGGTGGTTGTTCTCTCGCTTTTAATTGTGTTTATGTCTCTTCTTGCTTTGCTCTGTGAATTTTTTCTGAACTTTACACCATGTTGAAAAGGGAACTGCAGCACTCCTCTCATTTGGGTAAGAATGTTTTTTAATTTATCTTTCTAATTGCATCCATATGGGAACTTTAATTTAATTTATTCATTTATTATTCTAATATTCTGCTATGTGTAAACAAAATTCCTGTAAACTCCACTGAAATGACAATAAAGTCTTGAATCTTGAGCTCCTGAATCTAAAGCAGCAACTGACACAGTTTTATACTTTATGCTCTTAAGGGCAGTGGTCAACAAAAAACAAAACAAGCAGCCTACAGTAATACATTTCAAATTGGTGCTTAAAGATGAGGCACAAGAAAGTTCAAGGAATTTGCTTTCTTCCTACTGTATGTTCTTACACTGGTTTTAAGACATACTGGCGTCAATATATTGACTACTGATGGATTTACATCATTAGTATTCCAGCTCTTTACCCATGGACTCCACCCACCTTCTTTACAGCCATTCTTTCCTGTCTAGCCTTCATCTCAGCTAGCAGGTCCATTCCCATCACAGGAACCCCAATATGGCGGGGTATGTGGGGGTGGTCCTTCTTCTCCACGCTCTCCTTCCTCTCCACATTCTCCTCCTCCTTCTCCTCCTCAGCAGCAGTGGTCGGAAAGGCCTCCACCTCACCATCTGTGTGGTTTGAGGACTGAGCCCTGTGGAGCTCCTGGTGGGGCTCCACCATGGCTGCAGTGGTTTTCACGGGCGGTGTCGGGGATGTGGGTGTCATCTCCTCAGTCACTGGGCTAACAGAGGAAGAGGGTGGAGCGGTGTTGGAGGAGGCAGGTTGGAGTGTAGTGGTGGAGGCGGCTCCGTGGCTCTTCTCTGAGCGGGACGTCCGGGATTTGATGAGGTTAAAGAAACCGCTCTTTCTGGACTCACGTTTCTTATCTGCTGATTCCTGCGTGCTGGAGGATGGACCTCTGACAGAGGGAAGTCTGAAGAAGATTTAAAAAAATGCATGTTGTTTCTTTTTATGCTGATGACACACAGTATTTCACTTTTTAAAAAAGTGATTTGGGGAGAATATCTATTTCACGGAGTTGTCTATAAGGAAAAGTTTATGCTTTTATGTTGTGTGCAACATCTGAATATTTAAAGGTGCTATTTGTAAGTTTTGCTATTGCTTCATAGCAAATGCTAGCATTAACAGCTGTTTACTTACCAGAAGAAGAAATGTTGCGAGTTCAGCATCGAACTTCAATCCTTCACTCACCAAGAACTGTCTTCAGAGGTGGAAAGCAACCTTTTTGTTTTGCATCTTCTTCTATCACTTTTAATTCAGACATGCTAACCAAAGTCACTGTAGCAGCCCTGAAGAAGTAGCTGCTCAGAGGGTGTATTATAATCTCTTGTATTGTAAACAAGACTGGTGAGTAAACAGCTGTTAATGCTAATGTTAGCTATGTAACAATAGCAAAATTTACAAATAGCTCCTTGAAATAGCTGCAGAAAACATCAGTTTCAGTTTAAAACAGGACTCTTACTTGAAGCTGAGTTTAATGACTTTCTTAGAGAAAAAGTCATCCAGGCCCTCGTCCAGCTTTCCCATGATGCTGTTCTGCTCTGCCTCGTGTTGCAACGAGCTGCCGGTGGCCTCCCGCTGAAGGACCGGTGGTGGCAATTAAACAGAAGGATTAGAGATGAGACTCATTTACATCTTAGGTGTTTAACTTATTATACTTAATTATAATTAGCATCTTTGTACCACCTTTATCATTAATGTTTTTTTAAGTCTTTTGGTCAATGGTCACATAATAGATTCTTTGGTCCATTACACAGACATTTTTTGACATGCTGGAAAGGTACTGTGCAACATAATACCATAATACGATAGAGTTGTTGTATTTTCTATTTTCAATTTACGAGTTTTGGAAAAAAAAAAATACATTCTTGACAATAACTTCAACAATAATTCGGTTTTTATTAGCTCTGCCATGACTTCTTTATATTTAGATTATATGGTAAATGCGAAACAAATAAATGTGTGATGGTGCTGAAAAATTCTGGGATCACTTGCTGACAGAAACCTACAGGTGGTCTGCTGGGTTTTGTCCTCTTCTTGGGTTTCGGTCGTAGTTTGGTTCGATGCTCCAGCGTCTTGTGCTCCACAGGCGGCAGCTCGCCCAGGCAGAGAGTCTCTGTGTGCGCGGAGGTCGGGGGAACCGGGAGGTCTCCATGGTAGGTTGACATTCTGTCCGATGGCTGTGAGGGAGGAGGAGGAGGAGGGGGGTCCTCAACATGGATAGGAACCTCCTCCAGAGCTTTGTCCAGGTCAAACTCCATCTCTGTAACAGAAGGCATCAAAACCATGTGAGAAAATCATAAATCAATATGAGTGTTTAGTGCAGCCTCCTGGTGGAAGCAAGACACACTGATACTAAATACCAAGACTGACCAAAAATCTGACATTTCTGAATTTCTTCTTCTTTAACTATTTATCATCTCCAAACAAGTTTAAGGTATTTTTTTTTAACATGTTCTTTAAGTAACCACTCACCAGTCTAGTAAATAAAGATAATATATATGTTTGAAATGTTTTGTTTATAAGTACACATGGTAGCAAAATCATGGATATATCACTGATTCTGCAGAAAGTTTCTCTTTTTGAGTTTTAAACAAATAGCAGATACTGTCACATATAAAAAAGGAGGATTTTTGAAGGATTAAGACATCACTACACAGATACACAAATACACATTCCTTTAGATATGATGGTGTCAAATAACATGGATGAAATATCATAAAAACTGTCATATCAAAAGTGGCCAGGAAGTAGAATTAGAGCTCTTATCCAGAGCCGACTAATTATAATAAAAATATAATCAGGAAATATCAAGGGCACTGCATATGCTTACAGACATATAGAGAAAAGGGGACTATGTTTAGTTTAGCACACTGACTTTAGAGACACTAAGATTTTCTGTGTCACTCACCGAATGCCACAGAGACGGGGCGCAGCATCCTGACCAGAATACTCTTCCTCTTGGTCATCTAAAGAAAAAACATCAGATTTTGCTTTTGTTTTATTTTCACATGAACACATACAAATTCTTGTCACAGTATTTTTACCACCACACTGTACTGCAGTCTTCTCTAAATATCTACAACTCATCACACATATCCATGTTTTCCTACCATGCAGGTGTCCATGTCCTCCAGCCCATGCTGCCGGTCATGGCTTTGTTTCTGCTCCCGATCGTGGTTGTCTGGTTGGAGAACCGTCTCATCCAGGACCTCTGTCTCCATCTGAGGCTCCTGGCGCAGCAGAGGCTGACCCTTCCTGATTAGGTGGTCAGACTGGAGATGGAGGGAGAAAGGAAGGATGAAAGGACGGAAAGACAAAACAAGAAGAAAAGACAGACAGATAAAGAGGAGACTCACCAGAGTGTGCTGTGATCTGGACAGAGACTCCAGGATCTCATCCACGATACGGTCTGACAGAAATGACGCCATGCTGAGCTTCACTTCACTAGATTACAAGGAAAAACACAAAAGACACAACAAATGCCATTTACTTTTCATAGAGGTCTTCGAGCAGATCCACTGCCTAGGACCAGGTCTCAGAGCCAGTCTTGACTTTGTAGTCTCACACTGTTCTGAGTCAAGTCAAACCTGTCACTGCAAGTTTTGAAAAACCATGTGTATGTGTTTAATAATAATAATAATAATACATTTTATTTGGCAGTGCCTTTCACAGCACTCAAGGACACTTTACAGAAGATTAAAAACACAATAAAAATAATAAAAACAACAGACAGTTAAAAAGAGCATGGCCTTATAGCTCCAAGCTAACCAGGTGTTAACTGTTATACATCTGTTATAATCTAAGAACCAGATGATCAGCTTTATCATAGTTAATTGAATAGATTGATTTTAATGTTCCCCTCCCAATCATCATTGATATTTAAAATGTGACAGAAAGAAATCAACAAAAATTTTGTTTTAACAACTTTTTCTCCACCCAGTTCTGTTACAAAATGTCTTTTGTGGGTTTGTCCATCTATTAGATAATCATCAGATACTTAACTAACCCAGCCTATTTTTATTTATTTATTACTTTTATTTCATAAGGAAGTCCCACTGAGATAAAAAAAATCTTTTTTTACAAGAAAAGACCTGGTCAAGACAGTAGCTGTACACACTCACAACATATTGAAATATAAGATCAAGTACGACACATACGACATGATACATAAATTTACAACAATAAATAGCAAGAATCACCACATTTCTGTATTTAGTTTGTATAATGAGAATCAGCACAGTGACGTCACAGAAGATCAGTTTGTTATGGAAACACATGACAGATATATTTATCACCTTGAAATCTCACCAGCTGCAGTAACACAGCTAAATACTGGACTGGAAATATCACTCATGGACTTCTTTTCTTATCAAAAATAAAGGCAAAAGCTTACAAATAAACCAAAGACTTGATCAGACATGCGCTTAAGAAACCTGAACAGTCAGACCTGATCTTGTTGATGATGTCGACCCCGGACTGCTCCAGCAGTGTGGTGGTGACGAAGCTGCGGGGAATGGTCATCCGCCCCGCCCCAGCCCTCAGCAGCTCCTGACGAAGGCTGCTCCTCTTCATCACAAGAGGACACAAACCCTCAGCAGCGTCCACCATGGACACCAGCATTGTCTGTGGGAGGAGGACCCGGCTCAGTTTAAACCTCACACTGTTTAAACTCTGCAGCAGTTACTATGTATTAAAAGCAGCTTAAAGCTTCTGTGTGTTTAGTTCAGCACCTGTAGCTGTTCCTCCATCACCCTGGCAACCTCTCCAGCCATCGACTCCAGCTTGTCCTGAATAGCTCCGACGCAGGCACCCCTGGCCCCGCCGCTCCTCAGGTGGTACAGGTTGGGGAGCAGCTGGAGTTATTGAGACAGAGCTTGACTTAATTCTGTTTTTTGTTTATTTTTCATCAAAGGAAACTGTTGACTTCTGAATCCAGAAAATCTAATACCAAAATAATTTTATTATTGTCGTATTTAACATGCAGACTGCTCAAGTTCTGCTTTAATTTTCAAACTTTCAGCCTGGCCCTTACAGGCCTTACAGCCTGTAACCCAAACTGTGCAGAGGAGAAACTGCAGTGACTTAGTTTCTGTCCCTGCTGCTTGCCAGGTTCAATCTCCAACTAGTTGGGTCGTGACATGAATTAAATGGAGATCACACAGAACAGGCTGTCTTCACAGGAAGACCACGTTGGGGAAAACAGCTCCAAGCACCTTGGAAGCAACAACCAGGCAATTTACTGTTTAATGATAGCTAATTCAAGCTAGCTGCCCTGCTAACCTATTCATTAACTCTGTTCCCCTCGTGCACACCATATGTCGGCCAAATGTGTCTCTTGACATTTTCAGTTGAAGGGAGCAGAGACCACAGTTTAAGAGATCTTCTTACCGTCTTGGAGTTCCTGGCGTCCTTCATGAGGTTCTCTGCCACCTTCATGTCCTCCAAAACCAAGCTGTTCTCTGTGAACCTCAGAGAGTTCAGGTGATCCTGCACCTTCACGCACATCATGTCCATCATCTATAAAAAAGGGCACAGAGAGCTCAGTGGTCAGTGTCCGATACTAACTAAACACAAGGTGTGAGAATCCTTGTTGCTGTTCCTGCCTGTTGTGTGGTGGTGGTGACTATTCCCTGCTGAAGCCTGTACGCCTGCTCCTGCAGGTATTTACGTGTCTCATGGTTCCTGAGCAGGTACTGCTCCATCTGCAACACAAAACAATAATCTTACACAGTGGAGACTTTTTAGAAAGCATCAACAATCTACATAAAGCTGAATGTAACCTTTAGTAAGGCGTCCTCTGTCTTCTCGGGGTTCGCCTTCAGTGCCTGAGCAGCGTCCATGATGGGAACAGGCATGAAACGAATGGTGTAGTTCCTGATGTGGAAACAAATTTAACATTCGTTTTTTCACACTACTCCAAAATCTTGGAGTAATCTTAGATCAGGATTTGTGTTTCAAACCCCAAGTGAAGAAAGTTGTGCAGTCATGTTTTTATCATTTGAGAATTATAGCCAAGGTGAAGTCTTTTATTTCAGCCACAAACCTGGAGATGCTTTTATTTCCTCCCACCTCAACTACTGCAACTCCCAGTATACCTGTCTCAGTCACAAATCAATCCACCACCTACAGTTAGTTCAGGTCTTAGCATCTCATCAATCATCAATGGCGGCCCGTTTATTTTATTTCAGGATTGATTTTAAAATTCTTTTAATTACATTTAAGCACAGGCTTGGGCTGGCCCCTCCCTTTATTTCTGAGCTTTTCTGAGAAGAAATTTGCTGTACAAACAAATAAATAAAGTATTATTATTAATAATATTATTACTATTAAAACGCTATCTCAGGGCTTGAAACATGACAACTTCATACTCACTTCTCCAGAGCAGCAGCGACGTCCTGTAGACCCTGCGGGCTGATGCTGTTTCTGTCCCACACCACTGTCCTGCACACATATGGAGGAGAAAGAAACAACTTTTTAATAAAACAATCCTTTGAGAGATTTCACTGATTTCTGTGGTAGAAGGCACAAACATTCATTTACATTTTTGGTTATTGACATTTTAACAGTTTTCAGATTTGATTTCCTCTATAATTAATTTCAAACAGGAACTTGTTTCCTTGCTCACCTGAGTTTGGTGTTGATCTGCAGGGCTTTGGCCAGCATCTTGGCTCCCATGTCTCCCATGGAGTTCCCACTGATGTCCAGTTTGGTCAGAGAGGTGTTGCTGCCCAGAGCGTTGAGGACGATGGAGAGGTCGGCTTTCAGCTTGGAATCAGCCAATGAGAGTGAGGTCAGCGGCTGCAGAGGAGGAAAAGAGTGAAATGATTTTACAGGCAGGTCGTTTATTGGACTAATTAATGCTTCAGTTTGAAATAAAGGCCAAAATAAATGTAATACAGAGAAGAAGAGATTGGATTTAATTTGGAGAAACACACAAAAAAACTTTTAATTGATGCTGAAACGTTTCACTCACTGATTCCTCCTCTTGAATCATGTGAACCAGGGTGTCCAGGACCGGAGCCACATTTCTGCAGGAAAATGAGTACACAATTAAAATGCAAAATGCATGTAGTCATTCAGGAAGAATGTGCTGACAATAATTTCTGAAAATTCTTCACCCACTTGGATTTGATGTTGTTGAAGTTCTTGCCCAGCGACAGGTGTCTGATGGATCGGTTCTTGGCCAGCCAGACAAGCAGAGTGGTTAGATCCATGTCCAGACCTGAGCAATGCATCACAGAGACATACACAGGTCATGATCAGAGTCAGTGCAGCGTCATCACAAAAGTTTCAAGTCCAAAAACGTCCTCACTGTTATCTGAAATGTCCAAACTGGAAATGTTGGGGATTTCAGCGATACAGCCCTCCAGGATCTGGGAGCCTCCTGAACGCAGCTGAGAGCAAAACCAGGTCAGTTTCTTTAAATCTTTCTTACTTTAGACTGACTTAATACCCTTTCAAACAGAGTGTGGGTGTGTTTAAACATTGTGTTTCTATGAGGTTCTTGTCAGTTTTACCTCACAGCAGCTGAGATCCAGGGACACGTCACTGAGGTTGGGGTTGCAGCCGAGCCCCAACAACAAGGCCCTGCACGCAGGGAAAAAAAAAAAAAAAATCACAAACAACAACTTACAGACATCAGATATTAAGTCAACGACCCTCAGCCTCTGATGGTCAGCACACTCATATATTGATGTTGAAACCACTTAATCAGAATGGCTCAGGAGGTAGAGCAGGTCGTCCACTAATTAGACGGGTCGTTGCTGCTCCAGGCCGGGCAAGATACTAAACCCCCCCCCCCCCCCAATGGCTGTCCCATCAGTGTATGAGTGTGCGTGGGTGTGATGCATGAATTTGTCAGTGAGTGGGGCATGTGTTGTAAAGCGCTTTGAGTGGTCAGTAAGACTAGAAAAGCATTAGATAAATACAAGTCCATTTGATATTTTGTCAAATACTCAAAGTGGAAAAAGTGTCTGACACGCTGCTGTGAGTCAAGAAATGAACGTGTTTCCCCTTTTTCCAATGGATTTACTCCTGTGTGACTGAAAGTTGACACAGTATGGAGAATCCAGATAGAAGCTCTTTCTCTTAATTCCAAGGGACCGACAACAGATGTTTACTATGGCTTTCCTTCCAAAAATCTTTTTGCTGTCAAACTCTTAGAAATATCTACTTGTGACATTCAGCCAACCGTATATGAAGGGGAAACAGATGCTGTGTTAGATTCAGAGACAATAGATAAGAGCCAGCAATCCATCACACTGACTCTTTGTCTGATTGTGTTTTGGAACTGAGGGGTTCACTGCCATTCATTGCCACCAGTTGGGAAACCTTTATGTTGTTTTAGTGCTGTGCGCCTTGTTATGAATCAGATCTTGGTGATGTTTCCGTACTTCAAAGCCTCCAGTGGCAGCCTGGTTCCTGACAGACTGACTGAGCTCAGAGCCTGAGCACAGCTGAAGAACTGCTTGAAGGATGAAGGGATTTCTTTACACTTCCTGTGTGAGTGTGAGCAGAGATGTATTAATATCAACACAGTAAGAGCACAGACTATGTTTAACTGACTGGACGCTACACTCACAAAAAACAACACAGAATTTGTTGTAAAAGTAATCTGTCCTGACTTGATCACTGATGGATCAATAATATTTTCTCCAAAGCTAATTACTCTTCTAATCAGTAGTCTAGTCAGTTTATAGATAGCATCTGTCATAATGTTGGATACTGTTTATCTGTTGTCAGATAGTCAAGTGTAAGTTTAACATCTTGCCTGTGAGAGAAGACGGTCTTTGACATGTTGAGGACAGAGAGATGCTTCAAAGATCCTCTGAGCAGAGATGCACAAACCTAAAAAACAAAAAACTGAGCTTTAGCAAAAGAGGCTGAAACTGCACAAAAAACTCAACAACTTGGATTCAGTTACTTTTACTTTCCAGTTTAGCTTTTTCTTACAGTAAAAATGGATCATTTTGAAAGTATGGTCTTTGTTAAATTTTACTCTTTGATTCAACCACTCAAAGCCATATAAGTGTGTCTGTTTGTGTGTGTGTGTGAGCTGCTTTTACCTGCTCCAGAGAGCAGTCACTGTTGGACAGATCCAGAGCCTCCAGACAGTTTGAGTGACTCAGGAAGCTGTGCAAATTCTGTGAAGAAAAAAAAACTGAGGCTTGAGCCATGTCCATCTTTAGTTTAAGCTTTACAAAACTGTGGAACTGTGGAGTTGAGGCTGGACATGAGAGAAGGAGTGGCTGCGTACCGGTAGGTCATCGCCTCTGAGCGAGTTCCCCGACAGGTCGAGGTGTGTGAGGGTGGAGGCGACAACCGGGTTGGCACAGAGAGCGTGACAGAGGCTGTTCACACCTGCAAAAAAAAATTACAAACATATTCTCCTGGAAAAACTGATTCAGGATGATGATGATGATGATGATATGCTGCAACAGCTGTTTCTTTCCTGTGTGTTCACCTTTAGGAGACATAGAGGTCCTGCAGAGGTTCAGGTGCTTCAGGCCCATGGGCAGCTTGGCGAGTTGAGCGCTCAGAGCAGCAGCACCTGCAGAAAGTAACATTTAGTCACTAAAGGTATTAGACTCTATAGAGCTCAAGGTTTCCAACATGGCCACCAGAGGGCGCATGACTTCATCTGAGAACATCTGTAAGACTGAACAGCTGTTTCAGAAAGACATGTTTTCAACCACTGGAGATGATTTTTATGAAGATTCTTCAACACAAAAAGGGGCAGTAGAGGAAAAATTACAACATTAAGTCAATGGTAATGTAGTAAAGTGGATGTGGATTTTGCATAACGTAGCAGAAACAATAATAAATAAATCAATCAATCTAAAGTCCAATGTCTGATCAAGAAACTTTCAGGAAACCAAGATAACCTACATTTGCATGCCAAACCTTGTCTACACAATAAAAGCAGTGTGTGTGTGTGTGTGTGTGTGTGTGTGTGTGTGTGTGTGTGTGTGTGTGTTTTAACCTTTGTCCTCCAGTGAGTTGTTGCTCAGGTTGAGTGTGTGTAGCGTGGAGGCGGGGTTTTGTGACAGAGCGCTGGCCAGTTTCTGAGCAAAATCACTGAAGAAGACAAAGAGCAGATATCACAATATCACACCGAGCGTTCAGTTTTACTGGGTGTGTTACATTCTCACACTTTCAACATCACACATACTCAACAGGCGACAAACCTAAACTCAGTCTGCACTGCATGGACTTTGAGTCCTGGTAGAAAAAAAGTTTATTTACTCTTATTTAAGAGTCAGATAAAAAAAATAAAAAAAAAAAAAGGAAATTTTTTAATGCACCAATCAGCTAACAAGGAAAGTTCAACTGGGAGGATTTGAACATGTACAAAAGACGACATGGACATCAGGTCTCTCGTTAGACCTCTGACCTTTTGAGTCCAGCGTTTTCCAGCACCAGCTCCTCCAGCCGGCTGGACCGAGCCACCACTCTGAGGATCTGGTCGCACACATCTGTCGACTGGACGGCAGAAACACACAACACACACACACGCCTTTAATTTAATTTCACTTCAGTGAGATCATCAGGACGCATAAATAGAATTAACTTAATAAATATCGTGTTGCAAGTGATTTCTGTTTGTTTTTTTGACTGGAATATAGTCTTATGTTAATTAAAGAAGCAGAGAAAGATCATTTTCCACACATGGGCACAAAAGTTTTTTCATAAGAAATTGTATCTACTACACCTTTTATCTATTTCTAAATAAAAAACCAGACAGTCAGGTGTACAGGTGTTTGACTCATTGGTGCAGTGGGATTTCTGGGTAAAACTGAACTGCGCGTTGTTACCAGTTTGTAGTCTTTGGTGGAGAGTTTGGTGAACCACTGGTTGTACTCCAGAGCTGCGATGATTGCCAACAAATCCCTGCAAGGAAGAATAAAAATAAAAACACAGGTGTCAGCTCTTTGGAGTGATAATAAGAATAAACTTTATTCATGTTGCTATGTGATGTCCAAAACAAATAAAAATAAAACAATGAACAGTCATAAAATAAACATGAATAAAATGTACTGCATTGTTAAATCTATAAAAAAATATATATATATATATGTATATATATATATATATTTATTTTATATTTGATCAAAATCTTGAAATTCATGAACAAAGTCACACACACTCAATACAAGATGAAACCAAAGGTGTTGAGTAGTGAACTTACCTGTTTTCCAGGTGAACAAAGTCCTGCAGGTTGAGCTCTCTGGTGTCCTGAGTCAGATAGATGGTGTCCACGTCCTGAAGGAGATGGAGACAACAGGTGAGACAGACAGAAAAGCAAAGAGGGGAAAAAGCTTCATAAGGGTGCGTTCAGGTACAACACAAAACGGTAGATTGTAAAAGACAAAAGACAGATGAGAGTCCAACTTCAACTTGAGGATCAGAGGAAGAGAAGATCTGATTTAAAAGTCATTAAAAACAGAAGAAGAAAAGGTGAATGAAAGAGTTGATGAAGAATAAAATGAAGAAACACATGAGGAAGAAACAAAGATAAAACAAAAACTAAGGGAAAGAAAAACAAACATATATTTAGCAGAGAAAGAAGAAGCAGCAGAAAAAAGCAGAAGAATAAACACCTGAGGTCAGAAACAGCAAAAACTGTATAACAAGACAACAAAGCAGCAGATTGAAAAACAGGAAGAAGATGAAGATGAGAATAAACTGGAAACAAGAGAAAAAAAGCAGAAGAATAATAACAGCATCTACAGCACCGACCCATTGGACCTCCTCTCTGTATGGCAGACCCAGGTAATCACACACACACCAGTACTGATGAGAGAAACCCCCTGAAATTAAGAGTCACATGACAACAACTTTTAAGCCTTTAAACACAGACGCTTTCAACATGTGACTGGATCTATCTTCAACATTTTGAGGCTAATTTACCACAAGGCCCCAGGTCAGCGGAGCCCTGGTCGTCCCAGAGGGCCTGAAGGGCTGCTGTCCTCTCCGGAGGCTTCAAGCTCATCTTCCTCATCACCTTTCTTCCTTACAGAGAGAGGGACAGAAGGAGGAAGAGGAAGGAGGATAAAGGATGAGAGAGAAAAGGAAATATTAACCTCTATATTAACCTCTAAACTTCATGAATCCAGCAGTAAAGTATCTTCCAAAGACAAAGACAGCAAACCACTTCATCCCAGACAGAGGGAGGAGAAGCCATTGACATGACAACCCTGAGTGTAATTTACATTTAAGGAGCTCTTCGTAAGCAACTCACTGACAGTGTGAGGAGTTTCTATTTTCCTTTCTTTCCAGCTCTCTGAGGTGCACCTCTTTGTTCCCATCCTCTCAGTCTCAACATCCCTATGTATACATCTCACAACCCCGATCATCTTGTAGCTCTAAGTGCTGGTTGTGTGGTACCTACACAGGTGAGCCCACGGGGCAGATCCGGTGCAGACAGCTGCCGATGTGAGCGATCACCTCGTCCGCTTCCTCCACCGAGGCCAGCCGGAGGCTCCATGGACCGCGCTCGTGCTCCAACACCAACTGCAGGGGGCGACGCACAAAGGAGCAAAAATACAGATATTCCGTGGTGTTATAATATTTCCATCAGACTGAGCAGGTAAGTGCAGGTGAAACTAATGATCTTTCCTGATCACCATGAAGGAAACAAGGAAAAGACTGTGTCAAGAGACTGAACCTTGACACAACTGAAACAGACTTCATGAGATGAGGTTCAATTTATCAGTTAGATAAGTTAGATGATTCCTAGAACAATACACAGTTTGCTTGTGTGTGTGTGTGTGTGTATCGTGAAGGAATGTGACAACTCCAAAACATTTAACTCTTAACTTCACTTAACTCACCCTTTAATTTCCTCTTTACTCTTGCTGAACCGTAGGCTGTGTTGACAGACATCAGTGATTGTGTTATCTGTAAGTGTGTATGTGCGTATATAACTTTTAAGCTGCGGTCCAGGTGTGGCCAGGTGTGTGTGTAATACCCTAATAATGCACTGCCCACTGCGCATTAGTGGTTCCTTGTTTGTGTGTGTACCTGAGTGGGCTTGTTGCTGCTGATCCCCTGGATATCCAGGTAGCTGAAGGACTGTTCAACCTGAAACAAGCAGGAACAGACAGATAATGAAATTCATTAACATTTCAAGTTAATCTTGTATTTCAACATCTTAGTCACAGAGGCATTACAAGGTCAACATGTTCTTTCTTTTCTTTTCTTTTTTTAATTTTGGTTCGACAAATCACAAATAAAAAGTTATTTGTCCCAAAGGAGAACTTGCTTTCCACAATGTGAACACTTCTCAGGGACAAACTGGTTGATTCTCCTCCTGAGAACTGAATTATTTTCCAAGGAAATGTACCAGACACAGACAGTATGTGAGCAAATTCTTTCTTTAAAAGGTCCGATATTGTATAAAGGTAGATTTCCATGTCTTCTTTGATTATAAATCAAGTTTAGGTTCTTTATTTATACCGTGAAAGTATCAAAGTGCTCCGTCCACAAAGAAATGGACACAGCCTGTATTCAGAAACTGAGCTTTATCTTCTTATGGATCAACACTTCAGGAAAAGTGTAAAATATGGGACCTTTAACTGGATGCAGAGAGATTTCAGGTATGTATGTATACATGACTAAACTGTCTTTTAATGTATGTTGTTGTTGTTGTTTTATTCCACAATAAACATTATGATACAATTTCAAAAACTAACACTGACATGTTCATTCAGACGCTGAGTTTGAGCAAAGTGGAGAGAAGAAAGAAAACTCGAGTGAGATAGAAAAACATGCGACAGACGTCCCACTGTAGTCTGGATCTGAGCCCACAAAGCACCAACTGTGTTTCAGAACAACAACTGAATTTAACCCATTAGTGCTTGTTAGCAGATCTGATTAGCACACTTGCTAAAGCATGTAAGTGTCCCCCATCCACATACTTTTGGTTGAGCTGCTTTTCCAGGTTTGGCCTCCTTTGTACTTCAAGCTCCAGCATACAATAATGTTTTAGATTATAGTCTGCTTCCAACTTTGTGGCAACATTTTTGGGAAGGCCTTTTCCTGTTTGAACATAACAATGACCCTGAGGACAAAGCCAGGTCCACTTAGAGCCAGAGCCTTGACCTCAGCCACAACCAACGGCTCTCGGATGAACTGGAACACCAACTATGAGCCAGACCTCATAACCCAGCATCAGTGTTGGACCTGAATAGTGCTCCTGTGGCAGAATGGGAGAAAATCTCTGCAGCCTGGTTCAGAAATCAGGTGTAAAGCCTGAAACCAGATGAGTGGAGGCTGCTATAGCAACAGATTCATGCCCATGTCTTTGGAATGAGCTGCTCAACGATCACATATGGGAGGAATGCTCAGCTGTCCACATACTTCTGGCCATGTAGTGTGTCAAGCTGAGCATTAGCGCCTTCGCTAGATGAGCCTAACATTTTTCTAGGTCAACTAAGCCGAGTCTCATCGTGCTCCGACTTGTTTTGGGGCTAAAGACAAGACTATGTCACAATAACCTCTTTCTCAACAGACAGAAAGCTTCAGTGAGTGGATCTGCATCATACATGGTGTGTACAAGGTGTGCACATGCAACTGCAAAGCCTGTGCAGTCTGAATGATTTTTATTGAGAGATATATACTGATATTAAGCAGGGTTATTCCAAGTACCTGAATAAGTCCAAGGGAGAGGAAAAACATCACAGAGACAATAGGAATGTAAAAAAACACGATCTCCAAATCGTCTGTAGAACAAATGTCTGGAGCAGAGTCAGACCCAACCTCACACACATTTCCCTCTGAATCCAAAGAGAGAGAGAGAGAGAGAGAGAGAGAAAGTATAAATAATAGTGGATTCTGAGCTCGCTGCCAAAAGAGAGTGAATGAGAGAGAGAGTGAGAAAAACAAGAGAGAGAAAGAGAGAGAGAGCGAGAGAGAGACTACAAAAGTGGGAGGAAGAGAAGAGAGAGGGAGGGGGTAAATATAACTTTCTGCCTGAAAGAGAGACAGGAAGATTTGAAAAAGAGAAAATGAATAAGAAATGTAGAGAGTGGATTACTGACAGAGAGTGAAACAGAAAGAGAGGAAGAGAGGGAAAAAGGGAGTGAAGGGGCGAGGGGCGGGGGGCATAAAGGAACAGTGCCCCCCTCCCTTTCCTTGCCAGCTGTTAAATTCCTCCATTGTCTTTTTTTCACCCTCTGCTGCCTCTCTGTGCTGGGACAGTACACACTGAGGAACAAACCAGCCTCTGTTTCACTCTCTCAGACACACACACACACACACACACACACACACACACTTAGAAAAACCACTGGCCCGCTCTGGAACAACAGATCAGGGGTCAGCTGGCAGAAGCAGTTCAGCAGATTTTATTCAGAGGTTATCTACGTTTCATTTGCGAGTGTTGCTGTTTTTGAGCTCTAATACATCATCTGACAATTTTTATATATTCTGTAAGAGGCCTCCATACTGTTGACAGGAAAAGTTTTTTTAACACCTGACTGTGCAGACAGAACTCAGAAACCTGAATAAGAAGCAGAGAAATTAATCTCAATAGAATTAAGAGTTTTTTTTAAATAAACTATTTCAATTAACCTTAGACTTACATATATAACATTTATTTGTTCAGGTAAACTTATTGTGATCAAGGAATATTTTGCAAGGTAGTACTGCAGAGACAAGGAAAAACAAACATGGCCAGACATAACAAAAGCACATATAACATAATTTTACCCTGCAGGGCTGAGTTCACTGTCCAAATGTGGACGAAAACTGCACAGCATGTGACAGCGTGGAAATGCTGAGCAAAAATCATTAATAAATGATTTATCATCAACTGTATCTGAATTGTATCAGATGATGGTTCATAGTGCAATAGATTCTCTTTTACTCTGTTTTTACTGATGTTGTGAAAAAACGTCCTGGACTTTTTTGTAATAGAGTGCCGCAGGAATGAGTCCTAAAACCCGGAAATTAGTTTGCATTTTAGCACTTCCAGTTTCTTTGTCCCTAACTCTGGGTCTTTTTCTCTGTCTGTGGTTAACACAAGCTCAAGACGTCATCACACCGAACATGAAAACCAATATTCTCACCAGTCCTTTACAGCCTCGTTGTGTTTATACTCAAGCTTTTGCGAACTATTACTAACTTTGACAGAGGAAAGGCTTTTGTAGAAGAGGTCAGAGCGCAATCAAACTAAAAGTTGAAGTTTGGTGGTGATGACGTTGAAGTCAAGTGACAGTGGTGTCGTTCGTTTATAACCTGACAATAGCTTTTTACTTCTGGTGATTGTATTTAGGCTTCACAAAAGTGATGTACATCTGTGAAGATTATCCAGCTGAAGAAAACATGTAAATATCATAAACTTTTGTTCGTCACAGTGCTTTTGTTGTTGTTGCAGTAATTCAAAACACATGTAAAAACCCCACTGGCTTTTTGTTGAGGGAACACTCTATTTCTCAGGGACTGAAGCAATTCAAGGTTTGTATATAATCAGTGTATCAAGTGTATGATCAGTAAATGTCTTTGGTAATCTATTTATTTTACTAACTTCACATTATGATTTCTGTGTAATGAAGCTGTTCATACATAATCACACAATCCGTGTGATCATAAAGTTGTAGAAATGAGGCAGATAAAAAAATTTTGTTGTGCAGAGCCTCTGTATGAGCAGACTCCAGAGCAGACTCCCAGTTTCACCCTGAATCAGACTTTCCCACTTATTTATATGCCATCTGACCTGATTCACACACTCTTCAGTAAGAAGAAAAAAAAACAAAACAAAACAAAAAAAATGGATGGTTACCAGAGAGCCATTAAAATAGAGGCTGAGAAAAAGGAAAAAGTCGAAGTGTCGGTTCACTTCTCTTCTAAATAATAAAAGTCTCTGATGAACCATTAAGCAGTTTATGAAGCTTAAAACTGAGAGGTTCACAGGTTCACGCTCTAAATATGAAATGGTTTCTGTGATTTATAATCTGAGGTATTTGTATTTTTAACTTAAGTTTGTTCGTCTATGACTTGAAAATCTAGACAGACCAGGGTTATTGTCTTGAGAAAAAGCGTGTACTAACTGTACTAGTGTACTAGTGGTTACTAACTATCCAGGGAAAGTGTTGTTAATTTTCACTGTTACGTAATTTTTATGACATTTGTCACTTTCTTACATAAGGACACTCTTTATAGAATTAAAAAAAAACATTTTGTGTTTACATTTTTACTGTTTCCAGTATGTGTTTATCTCTGTCTCTCTCTCGCCCTCCAGGTTGAACTTTTCTTCCTCTCGCTGTTTTCCTTTCCCACAGGCTGTGTTCTCACAGCTGCATTGTGGGTAAAACTATCAAATGTCTCCATATGGTGGGACCTGTTCTCATCTGGGTAGAGAGACATAGAGAGAGTATGAGTGAGAGAGAGGGAAGGGGAAGAGAGACTTCAATATTAAGCCAGATAAACAGAGAACTAAGAAGAAGTAGAGGAAGAATAAAATGAAGACACAGCACTAATGTGGGTTTACAGAGTGCATTGAACAGATAGTAGGTTAAAAAGCTAAATATGTTCAAATTACAGTGAACACACAGACAAGTTTATTTTACCTAAAACCCACATAAACTGTTGTGCTGCTGGGAATAGAGCGACAAACGTGGATTAATCCGTTGCTGAAAATATTCCCCACCAAATGTCTTTGGCAAATGTTACTCAAACAGGGGGAAATGCTTTGGAGTTGTTTTAAGAAACTATATATTTTCGAGGTTTAGATTTTCAATAGGAACCAGGCTTGCAGCTGAGTGCCTCAGGTAGGCAGGTCAGAAAGTACTGAGAGACAGATTAACACCTTGGTTTTCATGGGAAATTTTTCACAGTAAGAAAAATACAGAATACTGCCATCCCTATACTTTAACAACCCAATGACTCCAGACTCCAGTTGAGCAGGGTCATCTTGAGTGTACATGAAAACCAGTCAGTAAACTTTTTGGAGTGACTGAATATTATCATATTTTATATATCATATTGTTGTTGCACTTATGATGAATTACAGATTCATTATTTTTTTAAAGGGGCTATATTAAAGTTTTCTCTTCCGCCAAATGTGGTGAAAGATGCTTGACAAGAACGTCGGCCATTGCTGCGTTTACAAGACAAGAGGTTATAATAGGTCATGGTACATCTTCAGGGCAGACTGGAGGCTACAGTGACTATGTCATTATGGGGAAGTGACAAGAGAGGCCGGGGCTAGCTGGTTAGCATGCTAACTTCAATCGAAGAAAAGACGTGATAGAGACAATAGTTAATATTGGCGTTACTTTCCACCACTGGAACCAGCTCTTGGTGAGTAAAGTAATGAAGTTTGTTGCTGATTTTGCAATGTTTCCACTAGACTGGTAAATAAACAGCTGCTCATGCTAACTTTGGCTATATAGCAATCGCAAAACTTACAAATAGCTCCTTTAACAAGACAAAGAGTCTGCAGCCATGCTAGCAGCTCTGTGAGGCTGTAGCAGTGCTTTGAGCTAACATTTGAGCCATAATTTCCATGTTCACCATCTTTGTTTAGCATATTAGCATGCTAACATTAGCACAAAGCACAAAGCTGAGGCTGGTGGGAGTTATATCTGTCTTGCATTTTTTTTTATCCTAGTGCCATCCAACAGTTGTTGAAACAGCTCATTCAAACCTACAAATGTGAAACTCATGGTGGCACTAGAGAAAAGGTTTTTACCAAAGTCAGTAGGAGTCATCCTCTGTGGGTCATGAATGTCTTCAATATTAAAATACTTTACGGCAATCCATCAAGTAGTCATAGAGATATTTCAGTCTGGACCGAAGTGGTGGACTGACATTGCCATCCCAAGAACCCTGCTGTTAGCCTGGCTAAAAATCAAAACCTAACTCCCTTACTTCTACCTGTGTTTGGATTATAGAGAGTTTAAGTGTCTGAAACGTGTCCACACTTGTTGTGGCCTCTGTTAATGTGGAATTAAAACAAGGCAAAAAGAGAGAAAAAAACAAACAAAAAAAAAACAAAACAACTTGACTCTGGAGGAACAAGCAGCAGCGTGTCCATGACCAAATAAGAAACATTCCCAAAGAGAGGGAAGAGGAGGAGCAGGAGGATGGCAGGGAAGAGGAGAGGAATAAAGGAAGGGGATGATATAAGTGATGATAAATTAGATACGAATGAGAAAGAAACAGGAAAACTGGAGGATTGGTCTCTGCACCAATGTCACCACAAAAACACACACACACACACACACACACACACACACACACACACACACACAGATTTACAAACCTTGGAAGGGACCCGAGCTGTCAGCAGATAGGCTCGATGTGATGCCAAGGCCTGAGAACAGAGACAGATTGGTCAGACACAGACAGAGGGAGATTCTCACTAAATAATGTCAATAAACATCTATAAGATCCAACTGAGATCAAGTTCACCAAGATCAAGAAATAAATAATAATAATAATAAAAAAAAAAATCACATTAGACTTAAAGGCAGTTTGATCAGAAGAAAACAAAAGTGAAAATTAAACATGAAAATAAAGTTAAATGAATAGAAATCTGCTCATTATCAGTCCAATTATGTCAGAGCAGATGTTTCCCTCCTGACCTTTCGTGTAGTTTCTGTCTATTTCCACTTGTCGAGAAGCTGGCAGAGGCCTTGGCCTCTGGAGAGCGTTTTTCACTGAGTGGGATAATAATATATATTATCTTTCACCACGTGTTGAACTTCTGTCCTGGCAGAGAGTGAGTGCACATTATGGCCGCTCGCTCAGCCTATGCCAGTATGTTTCTGACGAAATTAGTAACTTATTTTCGTCATGAGCTTGTGAGATGTTTGTGGTCTGAGTTATGGAAACAGTGCAAGATAAATGGTCCTTGTTGTCACATTTACACTGAAATGAAATTATCAAAGGTAGAGACAAAACAAAAGGGATGGAGGGAGAGTGAAAAGCAGTCGACAGAAGGCTGAGCCAGCTCTGGTATATGTATGTCACCAGTTTCGCAGAGGTCACTCCAGGTCACATCTGCTCAAGGTCAGAGAACAGCCAATAAGATATGTGCTCCTCTCTGACTGAAAGGACTCTCAGGCAATGGTGGGTGTGACATTAACCTGCCTGAGATGGGGCTGTGTCAGGAGACAGTCTGAACAACCTGTTTCAGTTTTCTAAAGTCTGGAAACAACCCGGTTCAGGTGTTGTGCAGACGTAGGTCCACGAGTCCACATAGGCAGACCGGATAATAGAAAACAGATAACAGTGAGAGATCTGGACCATGATGCACTGCTAGCAGCATTTGGTATGTAATAATGATACAGAAGGCCATGAATTGTAGAATTACAGGAAGAGGTCAATATAAAGCAGGGCGGCATGTTAAACCACTGTCTGTATGAAACCTGTGCAATTGTCACTGCTGTCAAACATAATCTTTTGGCAGAAACACTACAAGATCAGCCATTACAAGCCATGTGGCTGTGTTTACCACAATGTTGATTATAGCCCAGATACTGGATGTTTGTGACCGATTGATATTGGATGATAGTAATTTTTTAACATAACCAAACAATCTTCATATGGATCCCTTAGATTTGTTTGTTTTAAAAAACTGATATGCTCTGAGCAGGACATTTTACAGTTGAAAAATAAACATGTCAGAGGTCTCTGGTGGACAAACTATGAAATGGTGACACTGTTTCTTGTTCAGGAAGCCATCAGTATTTAACTTTCATTTACACAAACACAAACAAATCAGCCTGACACATTATCGTGAAACATTTAGCACGTTTCACCTCATTTCATGAAATTATAGCACGGGCTTCTAATCTGCTGATCTAAAGCTGTGGAATTTGTTGCGTGTGTACGCCCCAGTGTGTGTGTGTGTGTGTGTGTATATGTGTGTGTGTGTGTGTGTGTGTGTGTGTGTGTGTGTGTGTGTGTGTGTGTGTGTGTGTGTGTGTGTGTGTCCCGACACCCTGTGGCTGTGGGTTGCTTTGGGTTGCTTCAGTCAAGTCCTGACAGGAGCTGCAGTCACATTCTGGTATGTGGTCAAAGGCAAAGAAATATGTTCTAAAAAATGTGTTCAAATGCACTTCCTGAGCTGAGGGGGGCAAGAAGGTTGAGTGAGCTGTAACCAGAAGGTCACAGGTTTGAGTCATGATCTCCGCAAGTCTTTAATATTCACTCAGTGAGAGTTGAGGTGATTTCACATACCTGCAGATACTGTACATGAAACCAGATATCATACCACAGTAACACCCACTTTCTTCATCTTAGTATCTCTGCACTGAGTCCTGTATCTTTTAACAATTAATATAAGAGTTACATGTATGTTGCATTATATGTGCAACACTGTCATATGATTATAAACATTATTATATTATTTATTTATAATTTTATAAGATACGTGAGTAGTCAGGTGATCAGAGTTTCTGATTTAGCTCTTACTGAATATGCCTGTAATGTCTTAAATGACCGAACCAAAGATTCATGGTTGGGGCTGGGCTCTTTTACTCTGAGTGAGGGAAATCCTAATGATGTGCTTTCAACTTTATGCCAACTGTTTGGGGAAGGTCTTTCCTGTTTCAACATGACAGCGCCACAGTGCACAAAACCAGCTCCATAAAGAAATGTTTTTCCAAGTTTGGTGTGGAAGACCTTGACAGGACTGCAGAGAGACCATCAAACACCTTTGAGATGAACTGTCAATCAATCAATCAATCAATCAATCAATCACTTAATCAAGGACTCGTTGCGCAACATCATTGTCGGACTTCACTAATGCTCTTGTGGCTGAACTGGAGCTAATCCCTGCAGCCAGGAAAACCTTATTTGTAGTATTCATCAGTTATTTCTTAAATGCATTGTAGGTGTGAACAAGAATTGGTTAGGAAAGCTGTGAACTATTTTTGCACAAATAGACTAGACTATGAAAGAGAAAATACTACACCATAAATGCAGTGAACACAAAATATAAAATATTCATATTACAATATACATATAACATATTTAATATGTTTCTAGGTTTCTAGGATGGATTGATACGAAATATGCAAGTATTGTTACAAAGATTGTAAAAAAATAAACATTGCAAAAAAAAAAAAAAAAATCACAAATGAGACCTCGACCATGTTCTGTTATCTTGATGAGCCAACAAAGAAGCAAGACAGTGAGAAAGCGAATTCTGTGAATCAGTTTGCTCAGTACATGTTTAAAGCGTTGTATCTGTGGAGCTGCAGAGGAAAACAGGGAAGCACTGGTCTGACAGACACTGACCATCAGATCATGACTCAGAGCAGCAGCTCCTCTCAGACTCAGCTACTGTAGCCGCAGTCATTCAAAATATTTAACAACCATATGCAGTCGACCGAGAACTCAGTGCTCAGCTCAACAAAAGTCACAGGAAATGCATCAGAACCACGAGAGACAAGTTGACTGTGGTGTCAAGAGGAAGTCCTTCGAACAGACGTGTTTATAATGCACAGCGGATCTTTTCTGAGCTTTAGATGTGACACATCACCCCCCTAAATATATTTAGATTCACCATTTTAGTGCTTCCTCTACTGACAATGGAAATTCGTTGTCCAACCTTGCCGTTTTGTGAGTGCAGTGGATGGTCATATATGTAAGTGCATGTACAAGGTAGAATATCTTGATGTGTGAACAGAGTAGCCTTGTGCTAATTCTGTTATTTACCATGCTAATGTTGAGACTGAGGACAAATCACTGCTGCAGTTTAAAACTTGTCTCATTGGAGTATATTCTTAACGTCTAATAAACCTTAACTTCTCGTTACACATCCTCTCACCTCCACCTGTGGCAACAAGCATCACACTAATGCAGCCTCTTGGATTTTTTTAACCTTTTACAAGCAATGAAATTATTCATTTGTGTAATGAATCAACCGGCCGACCAGTTCTCCCGAGGAAGCTGGGCACATGAATGGGCACAACATGAATGCACAATTTGTATTTGTGTTGTGCATTTTGCATTGTGTTGACATGTCTGGGCCACTCTACAGAACAATGGCCCAGACATGACAAATTTAAAGACTGAAAACCAAACAAAAAGGACAAAATATTGAGTCCATGTGTAATGAAATTTGCACTGTAGCTATAGCATATAGAATACAAACTGGACAGTTGTCACTTACCAGAACTCTGTTCTCCACTTTGTCACCTTTGACCTCCAGCTGGACTTTGCGCCTCAGGGTTAGCTTCACCCTCCGACCCACTGCCTCCCGCACACTCTCTGCAGCAGACAACGACAACAACACCTGACAATTAACACCACAACAGCTGGAAGGATCAAATTACAACTAATTACAAAACGCACAGAGAGGGTTCAGATAGGAGATTTCATTTGTTTTCAGTCCCATTTCAGTCCTGTTCAACATTCCTGCAGCACTCAGCTAGTTGAGCTCTTGAAATAGAGCTGGTCACCACACCTCTTATTCTGGCAAAGGGGGTAATTAAAGTGGAAATGATGTGGTGTTTCATGGTGCCTTCAAATTGGGTCATGTTTACTGTGTTCATCAATATGAGTCCACATAAATAACCCTCTGTGTTCACACAGTGTCATAAGAGGATGTTTCTCTGAGTTTGCAACTTGTAACATACTCTGTTGTTTTTCAGTATGTTAAAGCTCAGGGAGGTTAGGTTTTTCTTCTTCATTCTCTTCCTTGGCCTGGTGTTAAAACACAAAAATCATTTAGTTGTTGAATTCTGTTTTAATTTTAAAACTGGTTCTTGAGTAACGTCAACAGTGAACTTGATTCGGACAAAATCAGGGAGTGTGGCTTAAAAAAAGCTGATTTTACTTGTGTGTAAAATCAAATGTCAAAGGAACCCACTGCTGTTCTTTACATTAACTATCTTTACATCACCATCTGAGCCAGCTGTGGCTCCTCAGTCGTTTGACATAAAACTGTAAAGTCTCTATATTACATTAGTCTAAATGTAGTGTGACAAGTATAGTCTACTGTCTATAGCGTATCTTACATTTTACAACCTCTGGTGTTATAGGGGATATCCTTCCATTTCAAGCAAAAATGAAAAAAAAAACATTAAATATTATGTATTTCTGCTGCATTCATTTGGTTCTGTCTACTCTGGGCAATAGTTCTGGCCGAGTATGGTGAAACATCGCTGTTGCAGTGGTGGGAAAATCCAGGGACAGATGGAGAAAGAGGGGGAGGGTGAAGAAGTAAGATTAAGTAACAGACAGAGCAAGAGAGGGAAAAGAGTTAGAGGAAGAGAGAAAGAAAGTGAGACATCAAGACAAAGGAAGAGGTAAAATGAGGGTAAGGTAGAGACAAGTGTGTGTGCATGGCAAATAGAGAGTGTTAATGAGTATGAGAGCAAGTGCCCGCCTCCATGACATCATGCTGTCCCCCTCCTCTCTGCCCAGACACATAATAAGGTCATGGGGAGGATGAAAACATTACAGCATGAAGCAGCGTGGAGGCTAATCAAAAACACGTGGACTTCTCCTTCGTTCCAAATCACTCATATAAAACCAAGGAGCTCCCAGCTGAACTGGGTGACAAACTCACTTTGCTTTGGCATTAAACTGGCATTAGTGTGAGCTGTGTCTATAGCCCTTTTTTTTTTGAATATTTCACCATCCAAATTCAAATGCAATCATCCTCACTTTTTATTACCAGCACAGCCTCTGTGCACAATAAGGACAAACTCTCATACCCTCTTCTTCTTTTAGTTTTAATTTGCTGATTATGAGAAGCATCAGGTCAGTCTGTCCTATGAAAGCCAGCAGCAGGAACTGACAACAAAAAGCCCTATTCATCAGTCAGTCCAGTGACATACAGTATGAGATTGGACTGCCGGCACCATAACAGAAAGCATGGGGCCTGTGAGTCAGCCTCACCACCCAGTGCTGGGTTTGCTTTTGATTCCTAATGACAGTCCAACTAAAAGTACTTTTCTTTCAGCTTTAGGGAGTTTTTACACACGTATATTATCTTGCTGCACTTACCTACTGTTGTTATTTATACATTCTGGTCTATTAAAATACTCACATAACAAGACATTGGACATTGGCGGAAATATCAACCTCCAAATGTCAAGCTCCAACAAGCTTTATCTAACCAAGACAGCTCAGATATTCAAAACCCTGTCTGCATCAGTGCCATGTTTAAAGTCAACAGTTTAGGCTACTTTCTCCAGCAAAATTTCAGAGATTTACAGTTTTTTTCCCCCCTCTTTCTTTTTGACACTCAGTCATCCAGGCAGTCTGTGTTGATAATATCTCACAATCCAAAGGAATTTCACAGGACACACCCCTCTCCCAAAGCCTTCTCTCTCTCCCCCACTTCAGATAAGGAAGTGGCAGAGGAGAAACTCTCAGGTAGCCAGCCTGGCCCTGGGGGCATGAAAATTAACAAGTGACTGAAATGCAAGTAGAAAAATATTGAACACTGTGATTGTTCCACTGTTAAATAAAGCCTCACACTCACTCTTATATCCCTGTAATAGTGAGGAGCGTCTACCTGTGGTAGTTTATGCACATAGTTTATTGGAATTAGTGGTAGTTTTTACCTTCTGTGGAGTCACTTCTACAATAATCCAATGAGAAGTTCTGTTGTTTCAGCAGTGATGTGTGATGACTTTATGGTCTTTAACCTCAATATTATTGTCATTTATTGTTTATGTTTATTGTCATATGGTGAATAGTATGTTTGTAAAATAAATATGAGCACTATTGTGATATTCCTAAAGTGGCTTGCAGTGATTTAATAGAGTTTGGAGTAACTTAATCGTGCCTTAAAGCATTTTTATGTCTGTGATATTCCTTTAGTGAGTTAATAAGCTTACTATCAAGTTTTCAGTGACTTAATGGTCTATGGCTAATTGCAACTACAGGATGTTACCTGAGATACAAAAGTTTAACTAACTTGTTAACTTTATTATTACACGCTTAGTTGGTTTAAATGTTTAGAGCACCTACTGCAACTCAACTGTATGAGTCGGCTAGCTAACTACCTCACCGACAGTTAACTGTTAGCTAACTAACGTTAACTTACCGAACAGCTCGTTAGGAATGTCCTTTTTTTCCTCCGACATTTCTTCTGCCGAGGTAAACACCGAAGTGGAGTCCGGCGGTGAGGACAGGAGAGGCGGGTAAACCCCACAAGAAAAGCGACTGGAGAGGGAGCTCCAGCCGGAGGAAGCGACTTCAACTACGGTAAAAGTGTAGTCCCGTTGTCTTCAGTTAATGTTGGTTACCTGTCGACACCCTGCGTACCTAACTGTTACTGTCTGCATCCATTCCTCCCTGTATACTCACTCTCTCTCTCTCTCTCTCTCTCACACACACACACACACACACACACGCACGCGTTACTTCTGCATTACACTGGTTGGAGGTGACAGGAGGGATGAAGACCTTGATTAACGGTGGTTTCAGGATGAGACATTGACCTAAAGGTGGAGATAGTCGGCGTGTATGACAACAAATCACACAAGCACATTTCCTCTCACACACACACACACACACACACACACACACACACACACACACACACACACACACACACACACACACACACACACACACACACACACACACATTTCAGTGATCCCTCCTTCCCTTCAGTTGTCCTAAAGAAAAGATTTCTTTGTTTTTGCCGATAAAAATGGGAGAACTGTGACACCTAGTGTCCATTCGTCCGCATAGCAACTTACTGTATTTTCTCCCATCTTTGTACATTTACTCTTTAAAGTACTCTGCTAGTACAGTCTTGTACTTTACTTGATGTGCTACTTCACACTTTTACTTCACTACATTTTCGAGGGAAATACTGTATATTAACAGCTATACTTAATTACTTTTCAGGTGATGCTTTAACATATAAAATATGTGATTATCTCTACTGTAGCCTAAACACAGTTTAAGTTAAAATTGGACAATTTAACTGACGTTTTTGTAATAATAACATATTCTTCCCATAATAATACTTCCCATACATAAATGTAATATATGACATATTTGTCCCAATATCATCAGTGATGTTGCCATTCATGTCACTTCGCTCGTTCTGTAGACGACGCTGAAGTAGGCGTGCCAATATGACCAGTTTGGAAAAAAAAACCTTTTCCCGCCTGGCTTGTGTACAGAGCTGTGGAATGAAAAAGGAAGTGCCTGCACTGATAAAGGTGAGCGGCCAGAACCAGGAAATGAAGACGGCTTGCACCGCACACAGCGATTGAACAGGGATTATACTACAAGGAGAAGTACGACATGAGTAATGAAGAGCAGTCCTGAACAAAGGTAGGCTTCAACAGAACAGCTGGATGGAAACTTAAATTGTCGTCCATCAACCACAGTGTTATTCACCGTTCACGTGATTTCCGTTTACAGTTTTGCAGGAAAACAACTTTTAGATTAATAACTTTTTTTTAAATGTTTGGGTTTCTTATTTTGATATTTGGAACATGAACCAACGCAAAGGTATACTGATAGCCAACAAGTGCTGCAAGCCTTCTAAGCTTTATGAAGGCTGAACATACTGGATGGTATAGGCTACTGTGTCCGACTAGTTGGATTTTAAAGAACTTTAAAAGGACTGATTTTGGCGTTTCAGTGCATTAACTGGTTGTAATTCTAAAGATGCAAATGAGATTTTCATGTAAATGCAGAGATTCAAAGAGAGCAGCATGTGTCCAACGTTCATGATATCAAAGACTCCAGTAAGGGTTGCCTCTAACTTTTATTTTCATCATCAATATCAATTAATCGAGTAATTGCTTGGTTCATAAAATGTAAAAAAATAGTCAATAATACCCATCCCGTTAATTTTGTCTGGCCAACAGTTTAAAACCAACAGATATTCAGTTTAATATTATAGAAAATCTATTGCCATTGGAGAAATTGGAACCAGAGAAGTTTTGGTGTATTTGCTTGAAAAATTAATCAATTATTAATTTTTTTTTTTAGGTCTAGACTCCCTATATCAGTGTAGTGCAGGACAGTGAGGAAACTCAGGGCAGTCTCTCTTTTGTGGCAACTTTCACTGCTCATTTTTCGCTAAATAATTTTATTGTTAAATAATATACCATCTTAAAGTCTATTAACCACTATATTTGAACAACCACTTGACGAATACAGTTACTATAGAAACTTGATGATGTTGGTGATTAACATGCGACAGGTCTGAGACTGCAACCTTTCAGGTTTCCTCATCAGCAATGTGAAGTGAAGTGTTTTGATTCTGTGCTGGCTGGTTTCTGAAGGACCACAGTGAACATGTCGCCGAAAAGACTGAACTGAACTGAACTTTTTTTTGTGTAGCACTTGACGTACAACACAGCTGATCCAAAGTGGTTACTTAAGTTTACTGTCTCACTGAGGCAAACAATGGAAGGCTAATTACATTTGACTCCTAAATGAGTCCACTTACAAACCAAAAGACTACAAATTCAAAACTCTCACAGGATTAGGATGCAGGTGGTGTGCACAAGGCAGTTTAGTCTGTAACTGCTGGTGTTAGATCCTAACTTAGTGTCTAAACTGAGGTTAATCATAAGGTTGGCCTGGTTACCGGGTTCAGCAGCTCAACTTTCTTGCTCCTTCTTTTACATCTCTTGTATACATTCCCACCATGAATGTACCATACATAATTATTACACAACACATGGCGTGGTGTCTGGTGCTTTTTTAATTTATTCTTCAACTATGAGTGATGAAGTCAACTTTTATTTATATTTATTTGTAGCGCAATACCACAAACTACTCCTCAACAGGCGTAGAGTAAATTTGCTTTTGCTCATATGTACATAAAGTACTTAAAGTTTCATTTGTTGGATTAAAGAAAGATTCTGCATTTTTTTGCTGCTGAAGTGACTCATGGCAATCAGAGCATGAATAATTGGTCACCAGTGACTGAAAGTAACATTGTCAGCTTAGATGTGATATAGACAGTTTCCAGTTTACCAACAGGAGCGTAGAAAACTAATTGACTGACTGATTGTCAGACAATGTAGCAAACAACACAGGTGAGGAGCAGGCAAAGGGTAATTTATGAGGAATACAGACAATTAACAGGAAAGGCTGGAAAGCTTAACTAACAAATAGTATAAAGACAATCTGGCAGATGAAAGGGGAAGAGGCTAGACTATATATTATAGAGGACTGATTGGCTAACAAGACACAGGTCAACACAATAAACTGGCAGGGGGACAAATTAAGGCAATAAAACATGTAAAAAAGTAAAACAACCATAGACATACAGTATGAGGTAAGTGATTACAAAATAAAACAGGACGGACTACAAAGTCAAGTCAAGTCAATTCTCATTTAACAACCATAACACACAGTAACAGCGTGAGGTGTCTTACTTTCATTAAAGAAAAGTTTCTCCTTTTATCAGTTTGTGTATAAAACATAAACCTCCTTATTAAAATGCGCTGCTTTGACCAGATGGCTAGCTGCTAAAATCTAACTCTATACTCTGAGCTAACAGCAAAGTTTCCTCCTTGGGATACTGAACATTTCCAGAGCATTATTTTTGTACAATTTGATTTGAAGCACATTTGATTTGAGAATCAGTTGCTGTAACTCATGACATTCGGGTTGAAACAGGTTGGGTGTGTGGATCTCATTCAGTCACTAGATGGAGACAAATAGTCATCAGTGTGACTGTGAACTTATTTACACTCCAGTCAGTTAGAAGACCATCAGCTGGTTTAATGCATCTGGATTCAGTCCTGAATCAAAAGAATGGCTTACAAATATTTTGACCCAACAACATCTGTATTTGAAATATTTGACATTTTTGTAACATCACTGTGACATAGTTTCGTAAAAGAAAAATAAAATCTCTTTATATGCACATTACAGGTATGTGCCTTCCTGGAGGAAAATGTCATCCTTCAGTGACAGCACTCAAGTATTAGACTGTTGTGTTGTGTGTTGTTAACTCACCTGATTAAAAAGTGACATTTTGCGGCACTCTTTGTAGATCTGCTCAAGGCTTTGGATACTGTTGATTACATTATTTTGTCAAAAGCTGCTTTTGATAATTGTGCTTACAGCTGGCTCAAATCAGGTCTTTGTGGTAGAGTTCCGACTGTTGCTGATGGTTTCAAATGAAATCTCGAGATGGTCGATAAAAGTGTTGCACAAGGATTAATATCAGGCTCTGTTCTATATATTTTAGAAATTATATAATATTTAATTTCAAAATATATTTTCGATCTGCTTTTGAAGACATCCAGATGTCTCTTATTAATTTAGAGCTTGTTTCAAACTCCAGAATTTGTGACATGTGAATTCATCACAGACAAAACTTTTCAGAAAACAGATCTGAAATTTGTGATAAAAGTGATAGGAGAAAGGCACAGACCAAGATTCTTTCTAGAAAGGGAAAACTAAATAAGATATATTAGGAAATTTGATGCTGATTTAAATTGTACCTCTTAAATTAAAAGCTATATTCTTTTCTTTCTTTCTTTTATTTATTTATTTTTTTAAAATAATTTGTTTTTTAACTAGGGCTCAACTATTGGACCAACTGTTGGAAGATGACAGATTCTTTTGTTTAAAAAATCCAAACGAGGCGGTTCTGTTTTGTTTTACCACTTCTGGCCCTTTTTCCATGTTAGTGCTCAGTGCACTTGTTCAAATATTCCATCAAAACCTGTACAAACGGTCTTACACTCTGTTCACCATCTTCAATTCATCCATGTCTTCCAAAAGATTGTTTTGATGATGGTGGTGGTCTAACACTTCAGTCCACAATCTCCCATAGGTGTTCAGCTGGGTCATGGTCTGTGAAGGCCTCAGCATCTGATTAACATCATTATCATACTCATCAAACTATTCAGTGATCCCTCATGATTGGGGGTCACTGTCATCCTAGAAGAGACCCCTCCCATCAGGATAGAGATGTTTCATCATAGGAAAAAGGTGATCACTCAGAGCAACTTCGTGGTTATTTGCAGTGACCCTTCCCTGCCCCTACAGCATAACAGAGCCAGCAGATCCTCTCACTGTGGGGGTCAAGCATTCAGGCCTGTACTGTCCGCTTGGTGTACACCACTCATGCACTTACACAGAATATGGAGAAGGATGACTCATCTGACCATATCAATTTTTTTCCACTTTTTGCCTCTGGT